AAGTCGGTAAAGAGGCAGTAGACCGTGCACAGTTAGTTTCCCGGTAGATTTGCTGCGCGAATTGTCCTGACTGGCGACTCGTAGAGAGCTTTGGCTTGCTACTTCCTCCGCCCTGATTGCTTGCGCGCCGCGCGCTCAAGCGTGCTTGGCGCCCGCCGCTGGATCGCTCACCGTTCTTCAGATGTCCAGAACCGGTCTAGAGCGGGAGTCTCGTGGTTCCACCCGCGGGAAGCGCGAATCCGAGTCCGAGGCAGCTCGGGTCGCGTGAAGCGGGAGCGGGACCGGGAGCCCCGAGTCGGCGGCAAGCACCCGGGGCAGCGGTGCGCGTGAAGCGGGAGGTCGAGCCGGGGAGCGTGGCGGGAGGCCCCGGCGCCCGCAGTCCCGGCTGTGCGTGTGAAGCGGGAGCGCGAGGCCGACGAGGACTCGGAACCCGAGAGGGAGGTGCGAGGTGCGCCGAGGGCGGGCCACTTTCACATCCTATATTTTTTTTAAACCTTTTCTAACTTTCCTGTACTTCCCGCCTGGGGGTGGTGGGAGCGGAATGGAATACATCGGTACTTAGTGTTGAACGACCTTGGTCATAATAAACAGCAACAGCAGCTTCCCTTTTATACAGTGCCCAACGTGGGCCAGGCGCGGTGCTAATGACTGTACAGATGTCAGCTAAGTTTTACAAAACTCCTAAGGTGTGGGGTCCTGATGTAATTCCTGGAATCAGGCTCTTCTGCCGAGAGCCTGAGCCCTGGATACCTGACGAAAGTACTAAGGACCAGCTCGGTATAGGAGACCACTCTCCGTTGATCTCTCCTGGTTTTTGCACATACTGTGGCAAGAGGCTGTCTTTGCTCCGCAGTGTTTTCAAGGATGTTGGCATAGTGATCTGACAACCTTAGAAGACAGATGTTACAAGAGCAAAAGGGGCAAGCTTACAACCAGTTCTGAAAGATTCAGGTTCGCTAAGCCCGGGATTCGTCAGTAATGAAACCCATTATGGCCATAGGTTTCTTGAGGAATTGACTCAACTGACAGCAATGCTATATTCTGGCAACTGTTATTGTTGTAATAAACTGTCCTTTGTTTTAGACCCAGTGGTTGCATGCCTTCCATTAGCATCCATGAAACTGTGGGAGGCTAACTAGTTTGCAAATAGGGTAAAATCTCAGAGCTTTTACAGTTCTTGAACAACTGTTAGATGTAAGGATGTACAGTTTATCTTAGCATTTGTGATATATTTTATAGCATCTTTCATGCCTCCTTGGATTCCTTTATGTATGTGAATGAATCTTGATGATATATATTTAACAGATACAGTCTCCCAGTTTGTGGCTTGTTCTATTAGTGGACTTATTTGGGATGTTGTTGCCCACTAAAAATGTGACACTCACTGTCAGATTTTTCTCATTTTCATGTCTTCCTCACTATTGGAGTTTGAACTCAGGGCTTTGAACTTGATAGGCAGACAGGTAGGTACTCTACCACTTGAGCCATGCCACCAGCTCTCCCATGTCTGTTTTTGATCTGATAGTTGACCTGAGTACAGGTTTCCCATTTTCAAAGTCTGTGATGATTTTTTTCCTTTCAGCAAAGACCGTGTTGATTCTGAGGAGCCGCCACTGCCCATATCTGGATACCATTAACAGGTTAGTAGGATAAAGATGCCCAGGATAGTAAAAGAAGAAGGGACTCTTTGCTGAAATTTCTTTGGACCACACATTGAACACATTCACAGATTTTACTTCTTTTAACTTTCTGCTCAGACACTTGTGCTTCTTGCCATGCTCATTATTTATTTGTTTGGTTTTTTTTTTTTGTTTTTGAGACAGAGTCTGCTATGGCTGGCCTTGCATTTGATGGGTAGCCCAGGCTAGGCTTGAACTCACAATCCTACCTCAGCCTACCAAGTGCTGGGATTACAGGATTACAGATATGCACGGCCAAGCTGAGCTCTTTTGCCATGTTTATTTTTAATTTTTTTTATTATTCATTTATTCACATATACGTACATGTTTGGTCATTTCTCCCTTATTTTTAACTTTTTTTAAATTCTTTTTTCCCCTGGTACTGGGGATTGATCCCAGGGTTTTCAGAATGCTAGGCAAGAGCTCTCCCACTTGAGCCACACCTCTAGCCCTTTTTCCTCTTGTTACTTTGAAGATAGGGTCTTGCTTTTTGCCAGGCTGGCCTGGATTGTGATCATCCTATTTTATACTTCCTGACATCGCTGTGATGACAGGAGTGTGCTCACCATGTCCAGCTTTTTTCCATTGAAATGGAGTCTTGCAAACTTTTTTTGCCCAGCTGGCCTTGAACTGCAATTCTCCTGATCTCAGCCCCCCAAGTAGCATGGGATGACAGGTGTGTACCACTGTGCCCAGGTATTGGCCAAGATCTCACTAACATTTTGCCTTGGCTGGCTTTGAACTACTATCTTCCTGATCTCAGCCTCCCAAGCAGCTAGTATTACAGGCGTGAGCTACTGGCACCTGCTGTATTTTGTTTTTGAGATAGGGGCTCCATAAGTTTTTCCTTGCTGGCCTTGAACTGGAGATGCTCCTGCCTCTGCTTCCTGAGTAGCTGAGATTACAGGTGTGCACCACCACATCTAGTTGTCTTGCCATATTTGTTAAAGTGGCAGAGTGTATGTACTAAAAGTGTCAAAGTACATATTGTTTAAGGGTGGGTGTATACATAAGGACCTTTTAGCTCATTCTAAATTTCTGTTTTGGAAAAGAGGATACATAATGTACTTAAAATAACAGTAGCAAACTTAAATGTATTTTGAGTATCCACTATGCACTATTCTAGATGCCTAGGATTCAGCAGAAATAAAACACAAAAACTTGTTCTAAAGTAGGAGTTACTTTATCCTGGTGTTCCTTTCTCTGGCTCTCTGATAGCCTGTTTTAATGTTTTTAGACGCATGTTTTAGGTAGCCCTGTCCAATAGAACTTTCTGCAGTAAGACTTGCTCTTTATAAGGGCTGTTCATTACAGTAGGCACAAGCCACGTGTGACCCTTGAGTAATTACATCATGGCTTGTGTAACAATCCATTCCAGGGTATGCATACTAGGCACGTGCTCTATCACTGTTCCATATTTCCAGCCCAGGAACTGAATTTAAAATTTTAATTTTAATTATTTAAAATTTAGTTGCTAATAACCATGTTATTAGTGGCCTCTTAATTAGACAGTGCTACTGTCTATTTGATTAATCATTTCCAATTGATTAAGAGCTAATATTGGAGAAGAAAGCCCTTTGTCAAATATGTGAATGCAGTGTAGGTAAAAGTTTTTTGTCCCTTTCTGCCCAGTACTCACATACTGTTACTTTAATAAATAGATCTAGTTGTAGGTAGTCCCCTAAGATTCTTCAGATTTCCCACTTGTTTTTGTGGACAAAAGTAAATTTTCTTTTTTATAAAAGTGAATATTTACACTTTTTATGTCCTTCCACCAGTCATAATGCTGTTGGAGTCCTTTTACATAAGTTCGACTTGTAGCTTTGCCTTCAAAGAAAATGACTGTCATGGAACATCCTTGACAGGTTACAAATACAACTGTCTCTTGGTATCCATGGGGGTTGGTACCATGAGCCCTTCCCCCACATCAAAATCTGCGTTCTCAAGTTCCTTACCTACAGTGACGTAGTATTTGCGTATAAGCTCTGCATATCGTCCTGTATACTTAAAATCATCTTCAGGTGATGTCAGTGCTATATAATTGTCAATGCTATATAAGTAGTTGTCATGCTATATTGGTTAGGAAATAATGAAAAAAAAAGTCTGTATTTGTTTAGTACAGATGGAGTTAATTTTTTTTCCCCCAAAATATGTTTGATCTGTGGTTGGTTGAGTCTACCCATGTAGAACCCATAGTAAATATAAACTTTCATTTAATGAGAAAGAGGGTCAAGGACATTGTGTGGTGCAGATACTGCTTAGAGGTGTGGGTGGAGGTGGAAAGTAATTAAAGCTTGCCATGGTTTATATGTGGTTGTTGAATTTCTCTGAAAGATACTGTGTGATATTGTGGGACATGGAGTCAACATTGCTTCATTTAGATGCCCTCTTAGATATCTGTCCCTATTGAGAGTGTGTGTGTGTGTTTTAAAATATGTTATTTTGGTTCTTTTAGGAGTGTGCTGGACTTTGACTTTGAGAAACTGTGTTCTATTTCCCTCTCACATATCAATGCATATGCCTGTCTGGTGTGTGGCAAGTACTTTCAAGGTAAATAAATATTATTAATTATAAACCTGTTTTCAGAGCTTTCTGCAGATCGAGTCTCCCTCCTTCCCTTCCTCCTTTCTTTCCTCCCTTCTTCCTTCCCTCCCTCACTTCCTCTCTGCCTCCCAATACTACCTACTTGGGAGACAGAGATCAGGAAGATCAAGGTTCGAAGCCAGCCCCGGCAAATAGTTTGCAAGATCCTGTCTCGAAAAAACAACACAAAACAGGGCTGGCGAGTGGCTCAAGTGGTAGAGTGCCTGCCTACCAAGTGTGAGGCCCTGAGTTCAAATCCCAGTGCTGTCAAAAAACCAAAACAAAACAAAAAAAGAGAAAACCAACAGAAGGTTCTCTGGTTGGTCAGAATCTGAATACATCTGAAAGTAAGAAAGAACTAGTTTTTGAAAGACTGTAATCTCAAAACTGGCTTTTGGGGAGAGCAGAGGGGAGATGGCACAAATAATGTAAATGTGAAAATGATAAAATAAAAGGAGAAAAAAAGCCTCTGGCTTTCTGAATCATTGTTTTCTATACTTGCATGTTTTTTCTTTTTTGGGTGATACTGGAGTGTGAACTTGGTATTACGCTTGCTTGGCAGGCATTGTACTGATTATGCTTTGCCTCCAGCCTCCTAACCCTACTTTTGTTTTTTGAGAATCCTTTTGCTCTAAGCAAAAGGATTTTTTTTGGTCTTAAACCCCAGATTCTCCTGCCACAGATCCTCCTGGTTCGGGCTCCTGAATGCAGGGTGTGATGTGTGCCATCATCCCTGGCTCTAAGGACTCATTCAGACCAACAAATGCTATGTACACAGAATATTGGGGAATTAAATAGATAGAAAAGGCATTCTTTGCTCCTATAAGAAGTCAAGATTGACACATAAAACAATCAGCAAGTTCAATAAGACCATAAAGATTCCTGCTAGATCATGTGGCATTGAGTAAAAATAAGGATACTAGGAGCTGAAATATGCAGAGGTCAGTGTTAGCTGTAGTGTTTATATTGAGTTCATGGAGGAGGTAAGATGGGACTTGAACTGCCAGACATGCAGGGTTTGAATGGGTTAAGACAGAGTTGCCTAAAAAGAATAGTACTAGGCAAGGTAATGCAAGCTTGTAATCCAGCCTGGGCAACTTAGTGAGACCCGCATCTCAAAATAAAAGGTCTGAAGATATAGCTCAGTGTTAGAGTGCTTGTCTGTATCATGCTGAGGCCTTGAGTTCAATCCCTAGTACTGGAAGAATAAAAAAGGAAAAGGAAAGAAAAGAAAGGACTGGCAACATGAACAAAGTCCTTAAGTTACAGGATTGTCCTGAATGTGGACAGTTTGAAATTGAGGACTGAGTGTTGATGGACTGCTGTGGGATATGTGTATTCATATGTATGTATGTATTTATGTACATGTCATATATAGTACATTCACAGATATAACTAGTTTCTTTTTTTTGACAGTACTAGGGTTTGAACTCAGGACCTCATGCTTGCTAGGCAGATGCTCTTACCACTTGAGCCACTCTTCCAGCCCTTTTTTGTGATGAACGTTTTCGAGATAGGGTCTTGTGAACTATTTGCACAGGGCTGGCTTTGAACTGTGAACTCTGCTTCCTGAGTAGCTAGGATTACTGGCGTGAGCCAGTGGTGGCCAACTGTGTTGGATATTTTCGAATCTGATAAGGTCTCCCAAACTACTTGCCTAGGGCTGGCTTTGAATCTTGATCCTCCTGATCTCTGCCTCCTGAATAGCAATGATTTAGGCATGAGCCACTGGTGCCCGGCAAATATTCTTCCTTTCTGATACATATGAAATTAGCTTGTGTATGTTGAATTGAAATTAATTTCTCCACCCAGTGTCCTTTTTTTTAAACAGGCACTCTACCAATTGAGGCATTTCACTAGCCCTGTTTATATGTTGTCTTTTTTTTGAGATAAGGTCTCCCGAACTATTTGCCTAGGGCTGGTTTCCAATCTTGATCCTCCTGATCTCTGCCTCCTGAGTAGCTAGGATTACTGGTGTGAATCACTAGAGCCTAGCTTCCACTAAGTGTCTTAATGCCACCGGGAAGGAGGTTAGCTAATTTGCTGTTCTTTTTTACTAAAATTTGAGATGAGAGAAGTTCATGTTGGACCTCATGAATAATGTAGGGTTTTTTTTTTTTTTTTGCAGCACTGGAGTTTGAACTCAGGACCTACACCTTGAGCCACTCCACTAGCCCTTTTTGTGTGATGGGTTTTTTTCGAGATAGGGTCTCACAGACTATTTGCCCGGGGCTGGCTTTGAACATGTATCCTCTTGATCTCTGCCTCCTGAGTAGCTAGGATTATAGGTGTGAGTCACAGGTGCCCAGCTGCATAATTCTTGTCTTTGCTGCTTTTAACATGTACTAGTATGAAATCACAAAAGGAAGTGCAAATCTGATCTGTGCTTTTCTAGACTTTTTTTTTTTTTTTACAGCCTTTTGCTCTTTCCTACAGGCCGGGGTTTGAAGTCTCACGCCTACATTCACAGTGTCCAGTTTAGCCATCATGTCTTCCTCAATCTCCACACCCTCAAGTTTTACTGCCTTCCAGACAACTATGAGATCATCGATTCTTCACTGGAGGATATCACGGTGTGTGTCCAAGAGGACTAGTTTGGAGCACATTTTTTTTTTTGAATTCAGGGCTTTAAGCTTGTTAGGCAGGTTCTGGGGCACACTTTTGTGAGCCATCCCAGGACTCCCTGGGAATTGCCTTACCTGATGTCAGGGAAGAATCTGGACAGAGGGAGAAACTGGAATAAACTAAAGGTTTCAAAGTGAGTTCATGATGACTGAGTCTGCCCAGTCTGTGTCAGACTCATAATTCTGTGATTGGGAAGATTCAGATCCTGTCCCTCCAGTCCCAGGGAGACCTAGAGTCCTAGTCCTGTGCAGAGGGGAAGAAGTGCTTGGATCCTGAACTAATTACATCTCCTCTGGGTGGGGCTCTACTGGAGACTCAGGCTTTGCTGCCTTTAGAGACCTGAGTATTCTATAGTGTCTGGCAGTCATTGTTCATAAAGCTGACCAGACCAGAGATCTGAAGAAAGACCTGGGGTTCAGTGATTTTGGGGTGGACCCCCCAAGATTAGCAGCATAGAAGACCTACCCTATGTTACTTTGACCTTTATCCTTACTAGTTGAGGGGTTTTGAGTGTGTGGTGGAATGTTCATGACCAAGGCGTTGTTTTGGTTTTGGCAGAAATTGCTGTTCTTGACATAACTTGTGAACTCTGTTTGCAGCTATAAAATAACTTAGAAGTTTCTTTTTTCTTTGCAGTATGTGTTGAAGCCCACTTTCACAAAGCAACAAATTGCAAACTTGGACAAGCAAGCCAAATTGTCCCGGGCATATGACGGTACCACTTACCTGCCGGGCATCGTGGGGCTGAATAACATAAAGGCCAACGATTATGCCAATGCTGTCCTTCAGGTAGGACCAAGATGAGAACACTGAGGAAGAGAGCGTACCCTGGAAGCAATAAGAGGGTCAGCCAAAAATACTGCTTTCTTGTAGGGCACCTCAGGGTTCCAGACGGTTACTGTGGACTCATACGAACTCTTACTTGTTCTGTGACAAAAGGAGTTCTGGTCAAAAGGAGTTGCTACCAGATGATGAGGCTTTTTCTAGCCCATAGGCTTGTGGTTTCTACCGTGTCCAGGTGATGAGGGATGGAATCTGTTGCTGGGCAACACCAAATAAGAAATAAGCTAACTACTTCTTTTCTGCATTTTCATGGTATGGATGTTCATTGTGCAATCTATCTGGTGTCCTATTCCTGCTCCTGTTATAACCTGAAATGGGAGAGGCAGAAAGCCAGTTACTGTATTTTCAAATAAAAGTTTGTTTTTTGGGTTTTTTTTTTTTTTTTTTTTAAGACTATGCAGTCCATTGTCCTTGAACTTATGATCCTCCTGCCCTAACTTCTGGAGTGAAATTACAGGTGTGCCACTGTACCCAGCTACATGTACCTTTATTTATAAGTTTTAATTTAAAAGCATATTATAAGATCAGTATTCTTCTGCAGCAGCCTTTTTTGCTGAGACTGGGGTTTGAATTCTGCTTCATGTTCACAGGTACCACTTGAGCCATACTTCCAGTCCTGCAGCTTCCTTAATGATTACATGTTACTGCTCTTTTTTTTCTTTTCTTTTTTTTTGCTATTGGTTTGTTTTTCAAGTTAGGGTCTCACTATGTAGTCCAGGCTGAGCTCACATCACACTTGCAATTCTCCCTCACCATCCTGAGTGTTGGGATGACAGTTATGTGCTCCATACCCAGCTTAGTACTTCATTTGTTTTTATGTATTTATCTTTTTTGGGACAGGGTCTTGCTATGTAACCCAGGCTGGCCTTGAACTCACGACTCCCCTGCCTCAGCCTCCCAAGTGCTAGGATTATAGCTGTGTACCACTGTGCCCTGCTTAGTGCTTTTTTTATTAATATAATTTATTTTGTTGCTACCATTTGTGGTAGGGCCTAGAGTCTAGGTTAAAGGGTTTCATAACAACTTACAAACCTACTAGCACACAAAAGAGAATTCTTTCATTTTGTGATTTTGCATTGTCACTGTTGGCATTGGAAAAAAAATTTTTTTTTCTGTTTTGATAGGAATTCCCTGTTGGGTGGGTGGGTGAGTGAGTGAGTGAGTGAGTGAGTGAGTGAGTGAGTGAGTGAGTGAGTGTGTGTGTGTGTGTGTGTGTGTGTGTGTGTGTGTGGTTGGTTGGTTGGTACTGGGGCTTGAACTCTGGGCATTGTGCTTGTTAGGCAAGTGGTTTACTGCTTGGCCACACCGCTAGCCCTTAATGAACACCTGGCAAAGATTTTCTCCCATAGACTATTTCTTCATTCTGGTAATTGTTTCCTTTGCTGTGCAGAGGCTTTTTAATTTAATGCATCCCTTTGTCAAGTCTTGCTGTTATTTCCTGCACTTTTACAGTCCTATTCTGACAGACATTGCCTGTGCCTATATTTCGAAATGATGGTTGATCTAGTTTCATTCTTCTGCCTGTGAATATCTAGTTTTCCCAGCACCACTTGTTGTAGAAGGTGTGTTTTTCCAATGTATGTTTTTGGCAACTTTGTTGGGAATCAGATGGCTGTAGCTCTGTGGGCTAATTTCTGGGTCTTGTATTCTGTTCCTTTGGTCTGTGTAACTGTTTTATGAAGTATCAAGCTGTTTTTGTTACTATGGTTCTGTAGTGTAGGTTGAAGTCACATTGTGGTATCTCCACCATTGCTCTTTTTGTTCAAGATTGCTTTGGCTACTTGGGGTCATTTGTATTTCCTTGAAATTTTAGGGTGGTTTTTTTCTATTTCTGTAAAGAGTGTCATTAAAATTTTGATGAGAATTGCAGTAATGTAACCATTTTGACTATTAATTTTGCTGATACATGACTATTGGAGGTATTTCCATCTACTGATGTCTTCTTTTTCTTCACTGCTTTGTAGTTCTCATTATAGAGATCTGTAACCTCTTTGGTTAGGTTTATGCCTAGTTTTTTTGTTTGAAGCTATTGTGAATGGGATTGTAATCCTGATTTCTTTTTCAATGAGTTTGTTATTGATGTATAAAAAAGCCACTGGTTTTTATATCCTGCTATTTTGCTGAAAGTGTCTATCACATCACCTTTAACAGTACTGGGTTTGAACTCAGGGCCTCACGCTTGCTAGGCAAGTACTCTACCACTTGAACCATTCTGCTGGCGTGTGTGTGTGTGTGTGTGTGTGTGTGTGTGTGTGTGTGGTATTTTTGAGATAGGGTCTCCCAAACTGTTTGCTTCTGGCTGGCTTCAAACTGCAGATCCTTCTGATCTCTGCTTCTTGAGTATCTAGTATTATATGCCTCAGCCACCAGCGCCTTGGTGGTATATGATCTTTTAAATGTATTTTTGATTTTGGTTTGCAGTATTTTATTAAGATTTTTGTGTTTATGTTCATCAAGAAAGTTGGTCTGTAGTTTTATTTTTTTGTTGTGTCTTTATCTGATTTGGTATTGGGATAATACTGGTTTTGTAGAATGAATTTAGAAGTGTTCTTTCCTTTTCTATCTTATGGAATAGTCTGAGTATAGTTGGTCTTAGTTGTTTTTTTAAAGTCTGGTAAATTTCAGTACTCAATCCCATCCAGTCCTGGGGCTTTCTTTGTGGGCAGTCTTCATTACTGCTTCAATCTCATTGTTCATTATAGATCTGCTTGATTCCTCTTGATTCAATTTTGATGGGTCATGTGTGTCTAGAAATTTATTCATTTCTTTTTTTGGTGAGGTGGGGCTACTGGGGTTTGAGTTCAGGGCTATATCTTGAGCTACTTCACCAGTTCTACTTTTGTGATAGGTTTTTTTTCCTGAGAACTAATTGCCCAGGGCTGGGTTCAAATTGCAATCCTTCTGATCTCTGCCTCCTGAATAGCTAAGATTACAGGTGTTAGCCACGAGGTGTCTGGCATCATTTCTTATAGACTTTCTAATTTAGTTGAGTATAAGTTTTCAAAATCTTCCTTAATGATCCACTGAATTTTGATGGTGTCTATTGTAATATGTCATTATTTGTCTCTTAATTTTATTAATTTGGGTCTTTTCTCTTTCTTTGGTTTGACTAATGGTTTGTAGGTCTTACTTATCTTTTCAAAGAACCAACTCTTTGTTTCTTTGGCTGTTTGTATTGTTCTTTTGACTTCCACTTGATGCCACACTTTTATTTAGGGTCTGCTCTGTGATCATCCTCCCATTCCTATAGCTGAGACTAATGAGCATGTTTCTTCCTGAAGCTAAAATGACTATTGTTTCTCTTTTTACTTAATGAGGTTAGACTATTTTAGTTGTTCTAAACCTTTGATCATTTTCTTATAGGACTATCATTACAAATTTGTTCACTTTTATATAAAACTGTATGGTTTTATTATAAGAACATATCAATTTTTAGTAAGGTGATCTTTCACATTATTTTAGTGTGAAGTTGAGATTCAGGATTTTTGTTGCCCAGATAGTTCTCTCTACTCCAACCAAGTAGCTTTTAGTATCTTGAATTTTTTTTTTCTTTCTCCTTTATTGTTTTTACATTTATTTACATGTGTATACGTTGTTTGTACCACCTCCCCAACCAACCCCCCCCCAGTACTTTGAATCTTAACATTGTCACAGACATAGGCTAAAAAGGAAAATATTAAATAAGTTGGTTAGTGGCTATGGGGTTTGAATACTTTTTTTTTTTGGTGGGACTAGGGTTTGAACTTAAGGCTTTGTGCTTACAAAGCAGATGCTCTACTGCTTAAGCTATGTCTCTAGTCCATATGCTCTGGTTATTTTTAAATTAGCATATTATAGTTGTACAGGGAGGTACTTTGTGACATTTATCTAAGTGCTTACAATATCTTAGACTCACCCCCTCCATCTTTCTCCCTCTCCTTCTTTGAACAATTTCATCAGGTTTTATTGTTCTATTTTCATACATGAATACAAAATATTTCCACCAGATCTGTCCTCTTTTACCCTTTTCTTATACCCTTCCCCCTCCAACTGGTACCCACCCCTGGTCAGGACCTATTTTACTTTTCTGTCCTTCATTTCTTTTTTTTTTTTTTAAACCTGTAGTTATACAGGGGCTTGTGTTGTGTGTTCCATATATACATATATCCTGAAATGGTTCATCTCTTCCATTATTGTCTTTTCCTATTCCCTTTCTATGGTGACTTCAACATGTTTCAGTGTTCCATATTTATACTTGTATAGAAAGTACATTAACTGAACGTACCCTTTTTACTTTTTTCACACCCCCTTCCCAACCCCCTACTAGTGCCTGGAAATATGGAGTCTTTGAGAACTATTTGCCCGGGCTGGCCTTGAACCTTGATTCTCCCCATCTCAGCTTCCCAACTAGCTAGTATTACAGGTGTGAGCCACCAGCACTAGCCTTTTTTTTAAAACTACTTTATGATGTCCACGTCTATCAGGTGTCTGCAAAACTCTGCTCTGTGTGGAACTCAATGTGAAAGGTATTAAGGGTGTTATTTTTTTGTTGTTGTTGTTGTTTGCTGGACTGGGGCTTGAACTCAGAGATTTGCACTTGCAAAGCAGGCACTTGACTGCTTGAGCCACACCTCCAGTCCATTTTGCTCTTGTTTTTGTGGAGATGGGAGTCTCAGAAAGCCACTTGCCCAGGCTGGTCTTGAACTTATATTTACCTGGCCTTAGCCTCCCAAGTGACTAGGATTACAGGTATGAGCCAACAGTGTCCAGTTGTGAAGGGTATTTCTATGAGCCCTGGAGGATTCTCTAAGGGTCTATTTACTTCAAACTTTTAAGGTCATCCAGGCCCATTAGTTGGACAGTTCTATAAGAAGACTGTTAGCTGCAACAGCTTGGCTCCAAGGGGTCCTGAAAAAGGTCTTGGATTAACTGGAATGTTTGATTTCCAGGCTCTGTCTAATGTTCCTCCTCTCCGGAACTACTTCCTGGAAGAAGACAATTATAAGAATATCAAGCGGCCTCCAGGGGATATCATGTTTTTGTTGGTTCAGCGTTTTGGAGAGCTAATGAGAAAGCTCTGGAACCCTCGAAATTTTAAGGCACATGTCTCTCCCCATGAGATGCTTCAAGCTGTTGTCCTTTGCAGCAAGAAGACTTTTCAGATCACCAAACAAGGTAAGAAATAAGCCATATCCATGTTCCTCTGATTTGGACAAAACTAGTTTGATTAAAATAATGAATTTCCACTTTGCAGTGAATCTCAGTAGTAGCAAGGAGTGAGTGTCCAATGGAGAGTGTTTGTAGGTTCCTCACTCCCCTAACCAGTAGGCCCTGCTCAGAGCACTGAGAGACTCCAGCTGAATAGAAAGTCTGTCTTACTTGGTAAAGTAAACTGCTTGGCTTAGAGGAAAACCAGGAGTCTAGGAATGACCCCAGCTCCTATTAAGCCTTTGCCACCTGTGCTGCTCATTTTGTCTTATCCTACACTAAGTGTATTCAGATGAACCACTTTGATCATTCTCATCTCTGTGAGCCCATTGCCTTATGAGTAAAGTAACCAGATCTCATATGGTGTGTGCGCTAGCGTCCTCCTCATGTCCTTCAGTGTGCTTTCACGCTGCTAGGTTTTTGAGTCGAAGTGGTAGGAAACATGATTTCTCTCTTCTGGAGCTTTCAGGTTAGTGGGGAAGATAGTTGTGTAAAATGGTAATCATGGGGTACTAAGTGCTATGATACAAGGAGGCAGTGTTTGCTTTGGGAGGGACATGGAGTCAGGACCCCACAACTGAACATGTAGGAGGTAGGTTAGAGGTCAGAGAAGAGGAAGAGACCCTGAGTTTTAGGTAGAGGAGGTAGGTCAGTGATGGATATTCCAGTTAGAGAGGATCCAACAGGCAGAATTGTGGAGGTGCCTAGTAGAAACACACTGGATTCAGGGGTCAGTAGAGAGCTGAGATGGAGGTTGGGAGGAGGGACTGGATTTCCTGGTTTATATGCCACTGTAAGGACCTTGGATGATAGCCTGACAACAGTGGGAGTCGGTGAAGGCTTTTAAGCGAAGATACAACACCAGACCTGTGTTTGAGAAATACTCGTACTATGGAATGACTTAGAGGACAAGGTCAGTAGCAGCCTTTAAGAATCTTAGGTTCTTACAGGAAGGAAAACTAGGTGGTGGTATGTGAAGTAGTTAAGGAGGAGGGACTAAGGATGCATACTAAGGGTTTTAGAATAATAGGAAGATTTACTTTGGAATGGATAATGTACATTGATCAGCAGCCCCATGATTTATTCACAAATGAGCAGAAATTACTTAACTATTTGAGTGTGGTATTTAGTAGTTTGAAATGTGTACAGTAACTTTTTTTTTGAGACAGGGTCTTGCTGTTCAATACCAGGATGTATTGAACTCATTATGTAGCGTAAGCTGGCATCAAAATCACACTCCTCCTGAGTGCTGGCATAGGTGTGCACCACCATGCCTGGCTGGCCCGTAATCTCTTCCTCTGAGTACCTCACCCTTGTGAACAGTGGGCAGCCATTGCTTGTGCAGGATAGGACCATTGACTTCCAATAGCTAGAGTGGCTAAGATATCTTCTGTTTGTACAGTCATTTGTTTCTAGACCCACCCACTGTGAGATCATAGATTTTTATATTAAGGCTGCATCAGGGTATGAAGTTTTTATTTATTTATTTATTTACTTTTTTATAGTGGGACTAGGGTTTGAACTCAGGGCTTTGTGCTTGCAAAGCAGGCACTCCAACACTTGGGCCACATCTCTAGTCCATTTTGCTCTGGTTATTTTGGAGATGGGGGTGGGTCTCATGAACTATTTGCGTGGACTAACCTCAAACTCCAGTCCTCCCAATCTCAGCCTTTGGGTGTGAGTCACCAGCACCCGAATAGGTATAAAATTTTTGTGAGTATTGTGCTTTGTGAGCCATGGATGTATCCTCATCAGCATTCCCATGCTATATGGTTTACTACTGGCCTGAAGGTGGATATTGGGGCCTCTCAGCTTTGAGAGCTTTGGAAAGTAAAAGCATAATTGATGTAGAGTGCAGAAAATATTTACCCTAAGAGTAAACTTAGCAGTTTCTTCTGTCATAGCCACTGTTTATGTTGACAGGTAAGCATGGTTTCTCAGTCTCTGAGACCTTGGCCAATGTCATTTGCCTAGTGTTTAGATGTATTAAGAAGTTCTTGCTATGATTGTTTGCTGTCTCATAAAGCATTCTATGCTAGGGGAAAAAGATCATTGTGTGGAGTTGTCAGAGCTCTTTAGGATTAGGGAAATGAACTTAAGGAAGACACATCCCATTTGAGTTTTTAAATGGATGTAAATCAAAGTACATTTTAGTTGGTAAGGAAGTAGCCATCATTCTAGAACTCCTGAGTGATATAGGTCTTAGCACTGTTCTTATGAGTCAGGAGTATTTCCCATGTTCCTGTTCTAGAACTCTTGCTCTAGATGCTTATAAGATGCCTTATAAATACTTATAAGTACCAACACCAGGAAGAGTTACCTTCTTGCAGAATAGGAATCTTTGTAAGCTGCAGGAGAGAAGTGGGAGCTTACTCTGGAGAAGTAGATATCACAAGATCTTCTTTGATTTGTTTTTCATCCCTGGGCGATGAGATACAAGTGTGGTATAGCCATGACAGTTAAATTTCCTGCTTTGGGTCAGAGCGCCTAAGGTGAGAGTAGACCGGAGGAGTAAGAGCAAGAGCTTGACTTTGAGGAGCATCAGGTTTAATAATGAGGTAGAGGAGGATGCACGGGGATGGGGTGTGTGGCTAGAGAGGAAGGGGGAGAGCTCAGACTGAGGAGTGGGGCCAGCTAGCATGTGGTTTGGGTTCCTCTCATGCCTCCCAGCATCAACATGTTCCACTTTTTTCCTCTCAGGGGATGGAGTCGACTTTCTGTCTTGGTTTCTGAATGCCCTGCATTCGGCTCTGGGGGGCACAAAGAAGAAAAAGAAGAGTAAGTTGTGCTGCTTGTAAAAAGGAGCTTTATTTTTCCCTCTCTTCTGAAAGACATTGCAACTTCTCATCCTTTTGCTCTTAACTGTTTACATTTTGGAGGCAGAGTTAGTATCTGTTGAACACACATACTAAATTTTCTTCCTGAATAAACCCTTCTCCATATATTTTGTCATAAATATGGTTATTCCCAGTGATTGGTACCTATCTCTCTCTGTATATGTAATTCATACGTGTGTGTGTGTGTGTGTGTGTGTGTGTGTGTGTGTGTGTATCTATGTTTGTTTTTGTTTTATGATACAGGGTTTCACTAAGTAGCTCAGACTGGCACACTGGCCTAGTACAAGTCACTGTGTAGCCCGTGGTGGCCTTGAACTCACTCTTCCTGCCTCAGTCTCCCAATACTAGGATTACAGGTGTGTGCTACCATGCCTGGCTCCCAGTGATATTTCTAATAAACAAAATGCCTGGAAGATGTTCTGTTAACTGAAATATGTCAGGCACAGAAAGACAAATGTGTGTTGTCTCATGTAGAAGCTAAAAAAGTTGAACTTGTAGGAGGAGAGAATAGTGGTTACCAGTGGTGGGGAGGGGCAGGATGGGTAACAGGTACAGTGTGCTGTAGACAGGGGAGTAACTCCTAATGTTCTGTAGCACAGTAGGGTAACTAGGCTGATAATTAGCTATATTTCAAAATAGCTACTAGAGAGATTTTGAATGTTCCCATCACAAACAAATGATAAATTTTTGAGGTGGTGATACACCATTTACCTTGGTACATTGCATATATAATTTAAAATATCATTATATCCCATAAATATGTGTCAATGAAACAATAAGAATACAAAAGCAGAAATGGATATAATTGCATCCTAGAAATCCTGAGCCTCTTTTTTTATTTGGCGGTAGTGGAGTTTGAATTCAGGGCCTGTGTTTCCTAGGCAGATGCTCTATCACTGGAGCACGTCTCCAGCCATTTTTCACTTTTTGTCATTTCAGATAGGGTCTTGTGCTTTTTGCCTCGGGCCTGCCTTAAGCACAGTCCTCCATAAACTTCCTGCCTAGCTGGGATTATATATGTGTACCACCATGCTTAGCTTGTTTGTTGAGATAGGGTCTGGCTAACTTGTCTGGCCTGGACTCAAACCATGATCCTCTCAGATCTCTGCCTCCTGGGTTGCACATGTGAACTACCATACCCAGCCTGACTCACTTTCAAACTAAGGGTATGGATACATGTTGTAGACCCCTAGACTCCTGCCAGTGCAAGTATTAGTGTGAGGAGAATGCAGTGGATGGTTTGTCTGGCATGAATTGAGCATTCTACAAATTAAAACTGGTTTTTCACCCTAAGTCTATGCTTGGAGGCATGAGGCTGGCCTCACAGAGTCCCAGAGTTGAAGTTTCTATGTCCTTCAGCCTCTGTATTGGCTTAGCAGTTGTTAGATGTTTTTCATGAATGCCAGTTATAGCTGGTAGCTTATAGATTGCAGAGCTAGCTGAGTCTCTTGAAGATTTTTCTTGTCTTCTGTGTCCCAATGGCCTTGGTGGTGTCTTGATGTGGCCTGGTGCTTTTTCCAGTGGATGGCCCTGCCCCAGCTACCAGATGTAGTTCACCCTCTGAGTTCTCTAACTTGTGTCCTGGCAGGATTCTAGGACCTGTTTGTGCTTTCTGGCTGTTGCTTTAGTTCTGGTCTGGTCCATCTCTTTTCTGTCATTTTCTGTCTGTATTCAGTACAGGCAGGACATTGTCTCCCTTTATAGGCAGCACGTGGTTATGGGAAGTTCCTTGGCTGTGCCTTGTTTTGCTTGTAAATGTTTTTGTGATTTATGCATCTCCAGGCTCTGTAAGTCATTGATTCATTTCAAATACACTTTTTGTCTTATGGGCCAGACCCAGTGTTGGAGGGTCAAAGTGTGTCTTGTGGAAAAGACTGAATGTAATTATTTACATAAATAATTATACAGGTTCCATGGTGGCATATGCTACAAAGGGAAACTTCTGTAGAGAGAGTGCTGGGTTTTATGCTAAATGTTGCTGATTTATTTTTAAAAATTACAAGTTGGGAACATGTTTTGACATGCTTTCCAGCCTCACAGCATTTGTACTTTTCTTTCTGCAGCTATTGTGACTGATGTTTTCCAGGGATCCATGAGGATCTTCACCAAAAAGCTTCCCCATCCTGATCTGGTGAGTGGGTTGTGCTGGGTCTTGGGCCTGAGGGGATTTGGGGAGACAGAGATGCTTCAAGAACTGACAAAGCTGTGTGCCCCCTAAGGAAGTTCCACAGAGCACCTGTCAAGTGGCAGTGTCTGGGTCCTGTTGTGGTGGCATACTGTAAACTTGGGAGTTAGTGGTTGGTGTAGTCTGCTGGTGGAAGTGGTCTGGCCACTGAGAGGTGCTAGTGTGTTTTTTTAGAAAGCCTAGCCAAGCTTTCTGCACCTCAGAGCTTTTCAGATAGTGTAAGAATCTTCAAAAGAAGGAAAGGCTTCAATTCTTGAATTACTCTAACCAGGCAGTGCTGCTGCTTATGAAATTGCCCAGGCTTTGGGCACCTCTCTTTATCCCCAGTCAAGGAAAGGGACAATGTCCATGTAACAAAACTTCGTTTCTCTCCATGTGTCACTTCATGCTGCTCATGTTCCTTTCTCCTCTCTCCTCTTCTACTCCAGCCAGCAGAAGAGAAAGAGCAACTGCTCCATAATGATGAGTACCAGGAGACAATGGTGGAGTCCACGTTCATGTACCTAACGCTGGACCTTCCTACCGCCCCGCTCTACAAGGATGAGAAGGAGCAGCTCATTATCCCCCAGGTGCCACTCTTCAACATCCTGGCCAAGTTCAATGGCATCACTGAGAAGGTAGCCCACTTGCACACCTGCCCTGCTAGTACTTATTCTTGTTTTCTCAAGACTTCTTCTGTTTTCTTTATGTTTCTTTCTTTTCTTCTTTGTTTCTTTTTTACTTTCCTTTTTGTGATGCTGGGGATTGAACTGAGGGCCTTTTTATTTTGGATACAGGGTCTCTATGCTATCTTCCTGCCTCAGCCTCCCAAGTGCTGGGATTACAGGTGTGTGCCACCATGCCTAGTTAATTTCCCTTCTGGTTTCTTCTTTGACCCATTGTTTAAGTGTAGGTTTTGTTTTGCATTTTTGTGTGTGTGTGTGTGTGTGTGTGTGTGTGTGTGTGTTTTTCCAGTAGGCCTGGAGTTTGAACTTAGGGTTGCTGCTTTGCAAAGCAGGTACTCTACTACTTGAGCCACACCTCCAGTACATTTTTTTCTCTGGTTCTTTTGGAGATGGAGTTTTGGGAATTATTTGTCTTGACTGACCTCAAACCATGCTCCTACTGGTCTCAGCCTCCCAGAAGCTAGGATTATAGGCACGAGCCACTGACTCCTTGCCATATTCTAATTATTTATGTTTTTATTTATTTATTTATTTGGTACTCCCTAGGTTTGAACTCAGGGCTTCATGATTGCTAGGTAGGCACTCTACCATTGAGCCACTCCACCAGCCCTTTTTTATGTGTTGGATATTTTCAAGGTAGGGTCTTATGAACTGTTTGCCTAGGCTGGCTTCAAACCACAATCCTCCTGATGTCTGCCACTTGAGTAGCTAGGATTATACATGTGATCTGCTGGCACCCCAGCCATATTCTAATTTTAAATAAAAATATTGCCTGTGAAACTTGGAGAACCCTGCAGAGGTCTGTTCTTTCCTCCAGAACTCACTCACTTCTGAGAGGGAAGCTTTCCTGGGTATTTCTCTCTGATGGTATATAGTCTTTTACTCCTATCTCTTTTTACTAAGTATAGAAGATTGTGTTAAGAAAAACAATTCATTTTTATCACCTTTTAAGTCCTATGGGCTGGGCAGATCGCCTGGCCCTTTCTTTGTCTCTCCTCCTTCTTGGGCATGCTGAGTGAGCACTCAGGAAATGCCTGTCAATGCACTTGACCAATAACCCTTGGGATCTTACTGTGTGTGCTGTGCTGGGGATGAACCCATGGCCTCACACATTGCTAAGCACTCACTCTATTGCTGTCCTGCAGCACAGGTCTTGGGATCTCTGAGCAGGAGGAATGTGGGAAGTTGATAGGCATCTCTGCTGGAATACTCAATGATGAAGGGCTTCTCACTGTTGCAACATCAGGAAATTCATACTTATTTTGAATTAAGACTTTTGTGGTTTAAATTTAGCTTTTAACAAGTCCTCATTTTCACCTGGCAGTTTTATTTTTCTTGTAGAAACTGGTACTTATATTACTATGGTTTTAAGTTCAACAGTGTGATCATAAATATAGTCCACAGTTGAAATATGTTAGTCAGCCTCAGCCATATGCTAATGCTACCCTTTTTTGTGGTTTCTGGGACCAGGTGTCTTTATGAAGTCTAGGTGTGAGGCAAAATTATTTTCAAAAAGCAAAACTTAATGCCCCTGCTGATCTCTGTTACTAACTTCATCATTTTCTTTTCTCTCTTAGGAATACAAACTTACAAAGAGAACTTTCTGAAGCGCTTCCAGCTTACCAAGCTGCCTCCATATCTAATCTTTTGTATCAAGAGATTCACTAAAAACAACTTCTTTGTGGAGAAGAATCCAACCATTGTTAACTTCCCTATCACGTGAGTATCACTCTGCCTCACTTCCTCTTAGGGGCCTGGATTTCTTTTCATATGTTTGTACCACTGTTAATTTTGGACTGACTTAGTTGGAGACTGCAAGGACCAGGGCTTACGTACAGGATATTAGTCAAGGTTTTTTTTTTTTTTGGTGGTGCTTGGGTTTGAACTCAGTGCACTTGCTAGGCAGGCACTCCCACCACTTAAGCCATGTCCCCTAGCCCAAGTTCAGCATTTTTATTTTTTTAGAAGTATGCATATATTTCAGGGACCCTAAAGGTATGTGTTTACCTGGAAACAATCTTCTGTCCTGTTGCTGGCTGGGAATTGTTGTCTTTTGGTGTGGGGAAGAAGTGTTGATGGAAGTGAGGCAGGGTAGGTGGAATTATCTCTGGTTTTATTTGTGCCTCTACCTTTTTGCATGCTTACCTAGGCACAAACGGTGGGTCAGCTCCAGGCCTCTTGGGGTCTGGTTCTCATATTTTTAGTTTGTTGTCTGTATATTTTTATTTTGAGATAGGATCTCTCTAAGTTGTCCAGGCTGGCCTTGAACTTGCGATCCTTCTGCCTTGGCCAAGTTTTGAGATTATAGGTGTGTACCACCATGCCCAGCCTATTCTCATGTTTTTTTCTTAGAGGTGAAAGTCTGGAATGCGTTTAGTTTCTTCCTGTTGACAAGCAAGTTATACATTTTGTTGTGTGACCTTATTTTTAATTTATTATGCAGTTGTATTTTTATGAACATTTGTATTTTAATGGGAAATTGGAAGGAGTTGTGCCAGATGTTGCCTTCTAATTCAGAAAGACCCCTTTGGGAGTAGTTTTTCATTCCTCAAGAGACAGGCTTTTCACATGCCAGAGAATGTCTGAGAATGTGGAGGAACCGGGTAGCAGGGAGAAGTGTGTCGCAGCTCGTGGGATTTGGATAGGGTGAGAGGAGAGCTCTCCTAGACAGTTGGCTAGTCAGAAGGATTTGGATGGCTCAGTATCTTTACATTTTTATACTTTTTAGTCTTTAGTTTTTAAAATCTTCACAAAATAGTTTGGGACAAACACTTGCCTCTTTTGTTTTTTTCTTCCTTTATCCCTTCCACTTCCCCAAACTGCACCAAGACTGCCAGGTTTTTCTTTGAAAATAGTTTCACAATTCTGTGTAATGTTCAAGAGAGTAGTATCTGAAATTAAGAGGCCTGAGTTATGTGCTGGTCTAGCAGTGTGATCTTGGATAGGTCATTTGCCTATTTTCTGTATGAATGAGAGGCTTGGGCTGGATGAGTCCCAAGATTCTTTCCAGGTATAACATTTTACTTTTTCTGGATTCTGGGATCTGAGAATCTGTTGTCAAGAAGGGGGATTATAGGAAAATTTCTTTTTTTCTTTCTTGCAGTACTAAGGTTTGAACTCAAGCCCTATACCTTGAGACCGTGAACCACTCCAGCAGCCCTTTTTTGTTATGGGTGTTTTTGAGATAGGGTCTCTTGAACTATTTGCCCGGACTGGCTTTGAACCGTGATCCTCTTGATCTCTGCCTCCTGAGTAGCTAGGATTACAGGTGTGAGCCTCTGGTGCCTGGTGAAAATTTCTTTTTTTTTTTTCTCTCCCCCCTTTTTTTCTCCTCCCTCCCCCGCCCAATCTTTTGGCACTAGTGGAAGGCATTATGCTCTCCTTTAATTTTTTGTTTTGAGTCAGGGTCTCAATATCCCAGGGTGGCCTTGAACTTAAGGACCCTCTTGCCTCAGCCTTCCAAGTGCTGGAATTACAGGCATGAGACATTACCCTGGTAAGAATAGCTTAATGAGGAATTAATTACAAGAGAATTTATTTTTGTCTCTTCCCATACTTTCTTCCTGTTCTTTAGTAATATCTTGTTTATGTGACAAGTAGAATGAAATGGGAGGCACAAAAACTGATTCTGTGAAGTCTATGTATGGTCCCCTTGAATGGGACCATAGAAGTACTGTCTTTGAAATCTCATGAGTCAAGGTTTTATGTCAGAATCTGTCTTATGAATTGCTACAGACACCAGTTTGTTAGTGGTAGGAAAGAGCACTCCTTACTGACTCCAGGGTAGCCCAGATGTAGGAGGACTGCGTATGAATGGCAGTTCTGTTCAGTTGTCACAGAAATGTGCTTACCCTACTTCATTGGTTGGGCCTGGAATATGTTTATTTTCCCTCCAGTTGCATTTGGATATTTGGTAACTGGGACTTCAGTAGTTTGCCCTTCAGAAAACTGGTCTGGAGAAGTTAAGAAAAACATTACTTAACTAGTCAGCCTTTTAAAGGACATCAATCCATGTGATGAATTCTGGAAATCTGCCCTTTAATTACTTTATGTATTGTCATTCTAGAATAAAACATCTGGATGTTCTTCCTGGTTTTCATTTTGATATCATTATAATGATAACATGCAGTGGCAATGCATATCATCATGTGGTCAGCCTTCCACAAGCCTAAGGCTGACCACCATTGCTGTCTGAATCCTGCAGCTGCAGCTGTATTCTTAAGTACCAGTAGGTGAGTGGTTCAGAGGAGACAGTGGTGCACACACCCACATTTAGAAGAGACTTAGGTTGTATAACCTACTGAAACTCACAGCTCTGAGGTGACAGCCAGGATTTCTTTCTGTTAAGTTGGAATGTGCTCAGGCCCTACACTTTCACTCCTAGACATGCTTCTATAAGGTGCCTTTCCTATGCAGCCTATTGTTGGCAGATTTTATGAATTTTGAGTAACCTGGACTTCCCTGTCTCTATAAGCCTGGCCAGAGCTAGGGTCTTAAATAGGGATCAAAGTTTGTGGTTCATTTGTGTAGGACAGTTGCCCTAATGTAATAGCCTTAGTCTAATGTTCTGGCTTTATTTTCATCATCACCAGAAATGTGGATCTGAGAGAATACTTGTCTGAAGAAGTACAAGCAGTCCACAAGAACACCACCTACGACCTCATTGCCAACATTGTACATGACGGCAAGCCCTCTGAAGGCTCCTACCGGATCCACGTGCTTCATCACGTGAGTGACTGATGACTTTCATGGCAGAGTGGCAAAATTAGGTGATACTCTCCTTGGGCTTTTCAGATGGTAGCTCCTTCAGTTTGCCCTTTCTTGAAGACTTTTTTTGTGTGTGTGTGGCATTGGGGTTTGAATTCAGGGCCTCATGCTTGCTAGGCAGGTGCTCTTACTGTTTGAGCCACTCTGTCAGCCCCAGTTTATCATTTCTTGATTTACCTTCAAGACTCTACAAGTAATTGAGTAGTGGTTAACTTAAAGGTAGTAGCTGTCAGTTTTGGCTGCACATTGGACACACTGCAGATCTTTCTAAAATCCTGATGCCTGGATACCACCTAGGCCAGTTACAGTAGAACACGAGTTTTCAACTGGGGTAAAGGCCAGGAAAGCTTTTATAGATCCTACAGTGTACAGGAAGTCCCTGAAGCCAAGAATTATCTAGCCTAAAACATCAGTTGGCATCACAGTTAAGAGATTCCTCATTAGATTAAAGTTCCCCAGCAGGTTCCAGCGTGCAGCCAGAGTTGAGAACCTCTGGTCCTGGTTAGAGCCCCACCAGCTACAGTGGGTTCTTCAGGCCACATTATCTAAGGGCTTGTTAGGATTGTGGAATCTCAGCTTCCCCCAAGCCTACTGAATCAAAATCTGCATTTTTAACATGAATCTCTGATGTATATAAAGTTAAAGCTTGTGAAACACTGGTTTAGAGGCTTCCTTTCTGCTCAAAATTTTTATAAATTTGTCTCAAGAAAACATGTACTTGAGATACTTGGTATCATACCAATCTCCAGCATAGACTCTTCTGATTTGATTAGTCCCAACTGTGGCATAGTACTAGTTTTTGTTTTTGTTTGTTTTTTTTCTCTTATTTTTTATTTGCTTATGATTCTTTTTTTTTTTTTTTATTTTTTTTTATTATTCATATGTGCATACAAGGCTTGGTTCATTTCTCCCCCTGCCCCCACCCCTCCCTTACCACCCACTCCACCCCCTCCCTCTCCCCCCCTCAATACCCAGCAGAAACTATTTTGCCCTTATCTCTAATTTTGTTGTAGAGAGAGTATAAGCAATAATAGGAAGGAACAAGGGTTTTTGCTGGTTGAGATAAGGATAGCTATACAGGGCATTGACACACATTGATTTCCTGTGCGTGGGTATTACCTTCTAGGTTAATTCTTTTTGATCTAACCTTTTCTCTAGTTCCTGGTCCCCTTTTCCTATTGGCCTCAGTTGCTTTTAAGGTATCTGCTTTAGTTTCTCTGCATTAAGGGCAACAAATGCTAGCTAGTTTTTTAGGTGTCTTACCTATCCTCACCCCTCCCTTGTGTGCTCTCGCTTTTATCATGTGCTCATAGTCCAATCCCCTTGTTGTGTTTGCCCTTGATCTAATGTCCACATATGAGGGAGAACATACGATTTTTGGTCTTTTGGGCCAGGCTAACCTCACTCAGAATGATGTTCTCCAATTCCATCCATTTACCAATGAATGATAACATTTCGTTCTTCTTCATGGCTGCATAAAATTCCATTGTGTATAGATACCACATTTTCTTAATCCATTCGTCAGTGGTGGGGCATCTTGGCTGTTTCCATAACTTGGCTATTGTGAATAGTGCCGCAATAAACATGGATGTGCAGGTGCCTCTGGAGTAACAGTCTTTTGGGTATATCCCCAAGAGTGGTATTGCTGGATCAAATGGTAGATCGATGTCCAGCTTTTTAAGTAGCCTCCAAATTTTTTTCCAGAGTGGTTGTACTAGTCTACATTCCCACCAACAGTGTAAGAGGGTTCCTTTTTCCCCGCATCCTCGCCAACACCTGTTGTTGGTGGTGTTGCTGATGATGGCTATTCTAACAGGGGTGAGGTGGAATCTTAGTGTGGTTTTAATTTGCATTTCCTTTATTGCTAGAGATGGTGAGCATTTTTTCATGTGTTTTCTGGCCATTTGAATTTCTTCTTTTGAGAAAGTTCTGTTTAGTTCACTGCCCATTTCTTTATTGGTTCATTAGTTTTGGGAGAATTTAGTTTTTTAAGTTCCCTGTATATTCTGGTTATCAGTCCTTTGTCTGATGTATAGTTGGCAAATATTTTCTCCCACTCTGTGGGTGTTCTCTTCAGTTTAGAGACCATTTCTTTTGATGAACAGAAGCTTTTTAGTTTTATGAGGTCCCATTTATCTATGCTATCTCTTAGTTGCTGTGCTGCTGGGGTTTCATTGAGAAAGTTCTTACCTATACCTACTAACTCCAGAGTATTTCCTACTCTTTCTGTATCAACTTAAGAGTTTGGGGTCTGATATTAAGATCCTTGATCCATTTTGAGTTAATCTTGGTATAGGGTGATATACATGGATCTAGTTTCAGTTTTTTGCAGACTGCTAACCAGTTTTCCCAGCAGTTTTTGTTGAAGAGGCTGCTATTTCTCCATCGTATATTTTTAGCTCCTTTGTCAAAGATAAGTTGCTTATAGTTGTGTGGCTTCATATCTGGGTCCTCTATTCTGTTCCACTGGTCTTCATGTCTGTTTTTGTGCCAGTACCATGCTGTTTTTATTGTTATTGCTTTGTAATATAGTTTGAAGTCAGGTATTGTGATACCTCCTGCATTGTTCTTTTGACTGAGTATTGCCTTGGCTATTCGTGGCCTCTTGTGTTTCCATATAAATTTAACAGTAGATTTTTCAATCTCTTTAATGAATGTCATTGGAATTTTGATGGGAATTGCATTAAACATGTAGATTACTTTTGGGAGTATCGACATTTTTACTATGTTGATTCTACCAATCCATGAGCATGGGAGATCTCTCCACTTTCTATAGTCTTCCTCAATCTCTTTCTTCAGAAGTGTATAGTTTTCCTTGTAGAGGTCTTTCACATCTTTTGTTAGGTTTACACCTAGGTATTTGATTTTTTTGAGGCTATTGTAAATGGAATTGTTTTCATACATTCTTTTTCCGTTTGCTCATTGTTAGTGTATAGAAATGCTAATGATTTTTCTATGTTGATTTTATATCCTGCTACCTTGCTATAGCTATTGATGATGTCTAGAAGCTTCTGAGTAGAGTTTTTTGGGTCTTTAAGGTATAGGATCATGTCGTCTGCAAATAGGGATATTTTGACAGTTTCTTTACCTATTTGTATTCCTTTTATTCCTTCTTCTTGCCTAATTGCTCTGGCTAGGAATTCCAGTACTATGTTGAATAGGAGTGGAGATAGTGGGCATCCTTGTCTGGTTCCTGATTTTAGAGGGAATGGTTTCAGTTTTTTCCGTTAAGTATAATGCTGGCTGTAGGTTTGTCATATATAGCTTTTATAATGTTGAGGAACTTTCCTTCTATTCCTAGTTTTCTTAGAGCTTTTATCATGAAATGATGTTGGATCTTATCAAAGGCTTTTTCTGCATCTATTGAGATGATCAAGTGGTTTTTGTCTTTGCTTCTGTTAATGTGGTTTATTACGTTTATTGATTTTCGTATGTTGAACCACCCCTGCATCCCTGGGATGAAGCCTACTTGGTCGTGGTGAATAATCTTTTTGATGTGTTGCTGAATTCGGTTTGCCATTATTTTGTTGAGGATTTTTGCATCAATGTTCATTAAGGAGATTGGCCTATAGTTCTCCTTTTTGGAGGTGTCTTTGCCTGGTTTTGGGATAAGTGTAATACTGGCTTCATAAAATGTGTTTGGCAGTTTTCCTTCCCTTTCTATTTCATGGAACAGTTTAAGGAGGGTTGGTATCAGTTCTTCTTTAAAGGTCTGATAGAATTCAGCAGAGAATCCATCAGGTCCTGGACTTTTCTTTTTGGGGAGACTCTTGATTGCTGCTTCAATTTCATTTTGTGTTATAGGTCTATTCAGGTGATTAATTTCCTCTTGGTTCAGTTTTGGATGATCATATGTATCTAGAAATCTGTCCATTTCTTTTAGATTTTCAAATTTATTTGAATATAGGTTCTCAAAGTAGTCTCTGATGATTTCCTGGACTTCCATGGTGTTTGTTGTTATCTCCCCTTTTGCATTCCTATTCTACTAATTTGGGTTTTTTCTCTCCTCATTTTAGTCAGGTTTGCCAGGGGTCTATCGATCTTGTTTATTTTTTCAAAGAACCAACTTTTTGTTTCATTAATTCTTTGTATGGTTTTTTTGGTTTCTATTTCGTTGATTTCAGCTCTTATTTTTATTATTTCTCTCCTTCTATTTGTTTTGGGATTTGCTTGTTCTTGTTTTTCTAGGAGTTTGAGATGTATCATTAGGTCATTGATTTGGGATCTTTCAATCTTTTTAATATATGCACTCATGGCTATAAACTTTCCTCTCAAGACTGCCTTAGCTGTGTCCCATAGGTTCCGTAGGTTGTGTTTTCATTTTCATTGACTTCCAGGAACTTTTTAATTTCCTCTTTTATTGCATCGATGATCCATTCTTCATTAAGTAATGAGTTATTTAGTTTCCAGCTGTTTGCATGTTTTTTGTCTTTACTTTTGTTGTTGAGTTCTACTTTTACTGCATTGTGGTCAGATAGTATGCACGGTATTATTTCTATTTTCTTATATTTGCTGAGGCTTGCTTTGTGCCCTAGGATATGATCTATTTTGGAGAAGGTTCCATGGGCTGCTGAGAAGAATGTATATTGTGTAGAGTTGGATGAAATGTTCTGTAGACATCTACTAGGTCCATTGATCTATTGCATATTTTAGATCTTGGATTTCTTTATTGAGTTTTTTGTTTGGATGACCTATCTATTGATGATAATGGGTGTTAAAGTCTCCCACAACCACTGTGTTGGCGTTTATATATGCTTTTAGGTCTTTCAGGGTATGTTTGATGAAATTGGGTGCGTTGACATTGGGTGCGTACAGATTGATGATTATTATTTCCTTTTGGTCTATTTCCCCTTTTATTAGTATGGAATGTCCTTCTTTATCTCGTTTGATCAATGTAGGTTTGAAGTCTACTTTGTCAGAGATAAGTATTGCTACTCCTGCTTGTTTTCGGGGGCCATTGGCTTGGTAAATCTTCTTCCAGCCTTTCATCCTAAGCATATGCTTATTTCTGTCGGTGAGATGAGTCTCCTGTAAGCAACAAATTGTTGGATCTTCTTTTTTAATCCATTTTGTCAAACGGTGTCTTTTGATGGGTGAATTAAGTCCATTAACATTAAGTGTTAGTACTGATAGGTATGTGGTGATTCCTGCATTTAGTTGTCTTAGTTGTTTGAAGGTTTGATTGTGTGTACCTAACTTGATGTTACTCTCTACTGTCTTGCTTTTTCTTATCCTGTGGTTTGGTGCTGCCTGCCTTTTCATGGTTAAGTTGGGTGTCACTTTCTGTGTGCAGGATCCCTTGCAGAATCTTTTGTAATGGTGGCTTTGTGGTCACATATTGTTTTAGTTTCTGCTTATCATGGAAGACTTTTATTGCTCCATCTATTTTGAATGATAGCTTTGCTGGGTAGAGTATCCTGGGGTTGAAGTTATTTTCATTCAGTGCCCGGAAGATCTCACCCCACGCTCTTCTTGCTTTTAATGTTTCTGTTGAGAAGTCTGCTGTGATTTTGATGGGTTTACCTTTGTATGTTACTTGTTTTTTCTCTCTTACAGCCTTCAATATTCTTTCCTTAGTTTCTGAACTTGTTGTTTTAATGATGATATGTCGTGGAGTAGTTCTATTTTGATCTGGTCTGTTTGGTGTCCTGGAGGCCTCTTGCATTGTATGGGAATATCTTTCTCTAGATTTGGGAAATTTTCCGTTATTATTTTGTTGAATATATTACGCATTCCTTCGCTTGCACCTCTTCTCCTTCTTCGATGCCCATGATTCTCAAGTTTGGTCTTTTGATGGAGTCAGTGAGTTCTTGCATTTTCTTTTCACAGGTCTTGAGTTGTTTAATTAATAGTTCTTCGGTTTTTCCTTTAATTACCATTTCATCTTCAAGTTCTGAGATTCTGTCTTCTGTTTGTTCTATTCTGCTGGATTGGCCTTCCGTTTTGTTTTGCAGTTCTGTTTCGTTCTTTTTTCTGAGGTTTTCCATATCCTGGCAGTTTTCTTCTTTATTGTTGTCTATTTTTGTCCTGAGTTCATTTATCCATTTATTCATTGTGTTCTCTCTTTCACTTCGGTGTTTATACAGTGCTTCTATGGTTTCCTTTATTTCTTCTTTTGCTTTTTCAAATTCTCTATTTTTATTGTCTTGGAATTTCTTGAGTGTCTCCTGTACATTTTGGTTGACCCTATCCAGTATCATCTCTATAAAATTCTCATTGAGTACTTGTAGTACGTCTTCTTTTAAGTTATTCTTGTGGGCTTCATTGGGTCCTTTGGCATAGTTTATCTTCATTTTGTTGGAGTCTGGATCTGAGTTTCTGTTCTCTTCATTCCTCATTTCTGTTCTTGGGGAGAGTTTTTTTTTTTTTTTTTTTGTCTTTTCTTTTTTGGTGCTGGGATCGAACCCAGGGCCTCACGCATGCTAGGCAAGCGCTGTACCACTGAGCTACATCCCAGCCCTTCCTCATTTCTGTTCTTAACACGAGGCAGGTTTATCTTTTTAACAGATGAGGAAACCTAGGCTCAGAATTTGAATAATTTATCTGAAGTCAGTAGAATTGAGATTTGAACCTGGACACTTGACCTCGAAGTCCATGTTCTTAACCAGTTCTTTGACTAAGAATGGGGCTTGCTCACATGATCCTGAGCTTTCCTTTGTTCTCTGTGCTGAACCCCTGGAATATCCAGTATATCTGGAATGTCTGTATTCTGTTATATTGCTCTTTATCATTTGCTCTGAGTTCAGATGGATGAGGTAGGGTTGCCAGAGGTACCCCTGCCTTAATCCATAAACATCTTTTCTCCCTCCTTCATAGAAGTATATAAGTACTTAGTTTGGCTGTGTTGTCGTTGCTGGTTTTACAGGCCAAGGGAAACTGCTGAGGATGATGGACAGTGCCTGCCAAAAACACTTTCTTTCGCTTTGTTTTGTTGAGGTGCTAGGGATTGAACCCAGAGCCTTGCACGTGTCAGGCAAGCTGTCTGTCACTGAGCTACATCCCCAGCCCAAGGACACTTTTCTTGATTCTATATTGCTGCTGTTTTCTGGGTAGGGGTGTGGAGGGAAGAGTATCCACAAGACAAGTATAAGAAGAAGGCATTTTAGTTGGGGATTGTTGGACTCCCTCTTTCTTTTCTTTGAGTCTGTTTAAATTTTCTTTAGAATGTGTGCACAAGCGTTTGAAACTCCATTACACTTGAATGACTTCTCAACGAGGATTATTGAGGTTGCCATGATTAGTACACCAAAGCTCTGTTATTTATTTATTTCTTTGGCAGCACTGGGGTTTGAACTCAGCTTCACGTTTGCTGGGCAGGTGCTTAAAAGCAGTAAACTGCCACTGCACCAGGCCTTTTTTGTGATGGGTTTTTTTTGAGATAGAGTTTCCCAAACTATTTGCCTAGACTGGCTTTGAACTGTGATCTTCCTGATCTCTGCCTCCTGAGTAGCTAGGATTGCAGGTCTGAGCCACCATATCCTGGCTTTTTTTTTTTTTTTTGAGGTATTGGGACTAGAACTCAGGACCTCACGCTTGCTAGTTGGGCGCTCTACCACTTGAGCTATTCCACCAGCCAAAACTCTTAAATTGACTCTTGGTGGTTAATACCTAGTGGCTGTTGTGATTTTTCTGGCTCTTGGCTGTAATCCCTTTCTTGTATGCACTTTTGCTTTTAAGGAGCAGGCTAACTCAGCCTTCGTACTTTCTGCAGGGAACTGGCAAATGGTATGAATTACAGGACCTCCAGGTGACCGACATCCTGCCCCAGATGATCACACTGTCAGAGGCGTACATTCAGGTGGGTGTGGCCAACGACAGGCTGCAGGCCAAGATGCCATTGGGATGTGCTGAAGAGTGAGGTGGGGCTAGATTATATGACTCTAAAAGTCAGTAGGAGATTTTCAGAAGAAAAGAATGGGGAAACATGACATTCTGTGAATGAGCAAAGAAGGCTACATTTATGGACAGGTGAATTTTACAGATGAGTGTGGTCTGGTTCCAAGGAGGAAGAACCTGAGCCCTCAAGGAGACTGGCTAGAAACTAGCCCTGAAGCTCTCTCCAGGGCACTGGCTGATTTAGTCAGCACTCTTCTTTGTGACCCCTGTACTTTATCTATGTCTTTTTTGGAGTGGTGATCATGTTGCATTGACTGTTTTATCTTTTCCATTGAGAGCCTGGGGAGCAGGGTCTTCTTTTGTAACTACTGTAGGACCTGATGCAAGAAGGAGGATTGAGACGAAGAGAAGCCATACCTGACCTTCTAGAGGACAGGTCCCCACTAGAAGGGAATTGAACCCAGGGTTTCACACATTCTAAACCTGTGTTCTACCACTGAGCTACACCCAAACCTCCTCACATATCTTTTCTTTCTTTCTTTCTTTTTTTTTTGTACATATCTTTTCTTAAAAGTGAAGTTTGGAATGAGAAGAAAAGGAGAGGATGAGTGGAAAAATGAAAGTGGAATGAAGGGAATGTTCTAAAAGGGTGTGAATTATTTTCAAAGGATGTGACAGACATGTCAGTGGGATGGCAAGTCATCCATTGCCTGGCACAGAATAGGTACTTGGTAACTATCTGTTGACTGAATGCTTCCTGACCAGCTCATCAATGTCTGTTGTTTTCACTTCTGACAGATTTGGAAGAGGCGGGATAATGATGAAACCAACCAGCAGGGCGCTTGAAGGAGCTATCTAGGGCTTTGCTCCCAAGGGCTTTGACTAAGGATGGTAAATAAGAATACCGAAGCTATAGCTGAACATGGACTGACTGGCAGATTCCCTGGACCAGCCTACTTTGTATGGGTTCTGGCTACACTGGAGTATCAGAGAAGCCCATCTGTCTGATATATCCCTAGGTGTCCCCAGCTGTTCTTTGATCAACTTATTTTAGACTGATGTTCTTTTCTCCTTCCATTTGAGCTCCCTTCCAATGTCAGCAGGCAGAGCTCCTATAGATGGATGTAATTTATTTCTTAGTAACTGGGAGTATCAAAGGACAGGTAATTCCTTGCAAACATCAAGCCCAGGATTCCAGGAATAAGAGAATGAAGCCAGTAACATCCTTTTGTCTATTCTAGGTAGATGATTTTCCTATGGTTTCCTTCATTTCCTAATGTGTTTTTGGAATGGATTAAACAGTATCCGTTTTTAAATTAGCTTCTTGTGTTTATGTCCTTTACTTAGGCTGCTGGCTAATGGAAGGATGTATTTTCCTTTTTTAATGTTCATAAACTGTCTACTCTGCAGCCTGTCATCTGGTGGACCTTATTCTTGTCTCTTCCTGTCAGCTTGTGGGTAATGTGTCAGTTGGGATGCATTTGTCTAAGTAGCAAGGTATTTGTCCAAAAGTGATACGTTGTTATTGTGCTTAACTAGAAGGTGGGAAGTGGAGGATTTCAGACTGCACTGAAGTTCTGAAAGAGAGAGAAAGGAAAAAAAAATTAGGAAGAACTTCCATTATAGTGCAGCTCTGAGGAATTCTCAGTCAGGCTACTGGGGTGCTCCAGAGGAAAGACTATCTGTCAGAAGAATTGAGCAGAAATGACTTCTGTCAAGCTCTGAGTAACCTGGAGGGAGTGTGTCCTTGGCATGAGTACTGTGGCAGACCCAAAGATATGGGAAGCCTGATGATACAGCACCTGGAAGCTCCACTTTCCTATCTGTTCTACCAAGTTCTGTCCATTTTCCTTTGTAAGTATCTTTTTTGTTATTTTGTCTTTTGAGATAGGGTCTCACTGTGTAGAACAGGCTGGCGTGGAGTTTGCTATGTAGTCCAGGCTGGCCAATTCTCCTACCTCAGCCTCTTGAGTGCTGGGATTACAGGTATACACCACCATGTCTGGCTGTTAAGTTTCTCTTGAGGAACTTAAACACTTGTCATTCTCTACCACATCTAGTCTAAGCTTATGCTGGCTTAGTGCAGCTCCAGACAGTCTGGGTCTGATCATGAGAGGGAAACCATAGAATAATCTGGTCAAGGAAAGTTTAATTTTAGTCATTACTAGCTACGGTGGAGCATGGAGTAATGAAGGATTGACTAGTAGTAATGAGTGAAGTGAACTCTAAAGAGTATAGAAATAACAGATATATAAGGAAGAAACACTATCTCTAAAGCAGAGATAGTATGTAGAGTATACAAGGCCAAGATCCAGGCTGTACCGAAAATCAGTCCTGTGGGACCTGTTATAAATCTGCTTTGGGCTGGGGTGTAGCTCAGTGGTGGAGTATGTATTTAGAATGCATGAGGCCCTGTCCTCACTGTCCATCACCAAATGGTGTCCCCCGGAGGCCTTCTGCAACAAAACTGTCCCAGGAGGGGAGAGTGACAGGTGAAGCTGTTGGGTACCAGTTGCTATGGAAGCAGTGAGGCCCTGAAGAATCTGAGCACTGAAGGAGCCTGATGGTGGAGAAAGCTGCACATGCTTCTTTCAGGTGAGCAAGCCAGAACCAGGAAGCAAAGTCCTTTCTTCTGCAGAGTGTCTTTGGTGCCCTTCTGACAAAGCGTCTGTGCCATCTAGCAAAGGAAGAACCTAGGAGTCTAGATCTATTTTTACAGAGGAGGCGGTAAGTAAATCGATACTGGCACCGTCCACCTCCATGATGACTTAGCTTCCATATGCACTCTTCCACATATATTTGAACTCCATGCAACAACAAAAATGTTACTTCTGTATTTCATACCTTCTTATGCGTGAATAATTTTTCACCCTTTCCCAAAATAAGATGCAGTCCCAAGCGTCATAGTATCTGTTACTGTCTATATTGATTACTCTGCAAATCCAGTCTTACTAAATTAACTTCCAACAACTTGTATATAAAATAAAAATGGGAAGAGTTAAAAATAGCCTGTGTAAATAATCATATGTATAACAAGTAAATGGAAAGTAAACATAGGCAGAGAAGGCAAGTCCATATTCAGAATACATTCTTTTCTTCTGGGGATAAATCCTTCCTCCATAGGCTGAAAATGTAATCAACCTGGTACTGGGTTATGATCCCCATAAGGAATGGTGCCATGTTGGGGACTCTATTACTCTGCTATAATAGATGCTCTGCAGAAGTACTACTCAGGATAGGGGAAGTCCTGGCGAGCCCTGCTGCCATGATTCATGGGTTCATTGAACAAGCACTGAAGGAGGCTAGAGAAAGAAACTGAAAGCCACAGAGCATGCTGCTTGTGTACACTGGTGATTAAAGAGTATTTTCTGCAGTGGCTGCCTTTTGGTAGCCATTCCTATGGGACACACATGTTTTCATAGCATACATCCATTTAAGGAGGTCAGTCTGTATACCTCTTCCTTATACTTCTGTTTTACCAATCTTACAGTCCTGTTCATTCTGAATCCCTGTCCACTATGAATTAGTCTAGATGTGTGCATCTGACCATCTCACAGTCCAAATACAGTGAACAGCAAGTATCTCAAATCCTGGGAGGGCCCTACAGTTCCTTCTTGAGTGGGATGAAGTGCTGCAGTTGTACACTTGTAGGTTGTGCTTACAGTTGGATAAACCCATCTTTTAAACAGGTTTGAGTTTTGTCTTGCTTGGTCACTGGTCATAAAGAATATCCAAGGAGACTAGTATGGATTGAGGGAAAGGAGGAGTTGATGTTAAAGGAATCTAAGCCTCTTCTCAGGTAACTGGTACTGTTGGACCTCCCTGAGCGTGGTCTTTACGCTGGTTCCATTTGTGGGAGACTGCAGCTACACGTGTGCAAACTTATGGATAGCTGAGTCCCACAGCAGCAAGTTCATGAGGGAGCTCAGGGCTGCAGTCCTCTAAGATACCACGGTTGGTCCATAGTCTACCAAAGCCCAAAAGAATAACCACTAGCAGAAGGTATAGATTTGTTCCAGAATCCCGGAGTTCAGCACTGTGAGTCTCCTGTGGTGCTTGCCAGATGCATTGTGCAGCATTCCTGTATGTCATGGATGCTTCAAAATAGCAGTGAATTGCTTTACTCATAAGACTCAAGTGGTAGACCATTCTGCAGCCTAAACTGGCTCCAGAATCTTCTTTTGTTCGGTTCTCCTTTTGAAACCAGTAGCCTTACAGCTCTAAGTGACTGCACAATCCATTATGGTATATGTTGTTTCCATACATTGTCCCTTTTTGTTTATGTATGGTTGCTGGAATGGGGTACAGCATCTTGTCTTTTACTTTACAGATGATATTTTGGCATTGTCTAGACCATTGGACCCCCTACTGTCCAGAAACTTCACTGAGGTGGCAGCCCCCTAAATTGTTTTTGGGTTTACTTCCAGCTTCTTGCTGCATTTCTTGCTAAGGCATCTAAAACAATACTTCCTGCTCATCTGATTTAGTCAACATAGTGTCATCAATGTAGTAGACTAATGCAATATTTTGTGGGAAGTTGAGACAATTAAGATCTGTGGCTGGACATGGTGGCACACACTTGTACTCCCAGATATTCAAGAGTCTGAGGTGAGAGGATTACTTGAGCCCAGGAGTTTGAACCAATCTGGGCAATATAGTGAGACCCTGTCTCAAAAATGTGTATAATAATAGTAGAAGAGTTGACTATTTGGAGGCAACACTGTGAGGCATACTGTTTCCGTGCCAGGCTACTTCTGGTCATCCTTTGGTATAAAGAAACCCAGTTTGCTACCAGCCTGGTAGCTGCATACCATATGCCAGGGTCTTTGTATGCTGTGTCAATAAAGATGCTACCCCTGGGACAGTAGCTTCAGTTGAGTCGCCATCTGATTAAGTTATGATAGTCCAGTCATTCTCCATGAGCCATCTGACTTCTACATAGGCCCTCTGCCACTATCATTCTAGTCTAAGCTATTGCCAATTTCTGTTTGTAGTTTCTCTCTCTCTCTCTCTCACACACACCAGGGTTTGAACTCAGGGCCTCACTCTTGCTAGGCAGGTGCTCTGCCTCTTGAGCCATGCTCCCAACTCTTGCTATTGTCTCTTAACAGACAATGTCTCCCCACATTGCTTTTCTTCTGTCTCCAGTTCATCTACACTTTTGCCCAGAACTAAATATTTAAAACACAAATGTAAGCAAGTCATTTCTTCCCTACACCTGATCTCGCACTTACAGATAACTCATTGGCTCCTAGGATAAAGTTTGAAATCTTTTGCCGCTTGTCTCATTTCTCAGGAAGTTTGTGCTTGTTCTTGATTCCAGGCTCACTGACCTTCATTCTGTTGCTCAGATGTGTCACAAGACACAAAATGTCACATGGTGATTAGCAATGATGGTAGATACCTGTTTATTGACCTGGGAAGGTTATTATTAATGAACAATGCAGGTTTACTCCTTCTGTTAGGGATGCCCTTCCTTCTTCCCTCCCTCCTTCCCTTCCCTCATGTGCATTGTACAAAGGGGTTTCCTTGTGATATTTCCATACATGAGGGATGCTCTTTCTTTTCCATTTACCTCTTGCTTTCCTTTCTCTTACATGACCTCTCATTCATACCCCACTTAATACCATCTGTTATCTCTTCTTGCACCTGGAGAATTCCTTTTTTTTTTTTTTTTTCTGTGATGCCTGGATCAATGCCATTTTTTCCAACTAGACTTCTTGTTCCAAAGGACAAACAGGATCTGTTTGTTTTGTGCCCAGTCCTCAGAATGATTGGCCCTTGAAAGTCAATCACTCACATTTGTTGAGCACATGCATTAGTACTTAGTCTATGCACTGTCAACCTTTTTTTGGATGTTCTGGGGTTTGAACTCAGGGCTTTGAGCCTAATAGGCAAGTGCATTCTGCTGCTTGAGTAATCCTCCAGCTCTTTTTGCTTTAGGTTATTTTTTCAGATATGGTTTTGCTTTTTGTTAGGGTCTGTCTAGGACTTTGATCTTCCTGCCTATGCCTTTTAAGCAGCTGGGATTACAGATGTGAACCATCATGCCCCTGACTTGTTTGTTGAAATGGGATCTTGCTAACTTTTTGCCCAGGCTGTCCTTGAACTGTGGTCCTCCACATCACCTCCTGGGTAGCTGGGGTTAGAGGTGTGAGCCACCATGCCCATCTTCTATGCTGTCCTTTTGTATATATAATTTTGTTTATACTCTGTCATGATGGTGGCAATAGTTAGTGCCATTTAGGAGCTTGGGGATTATCTGTCAGAGCTGGGTGACATGTCCTGTGCACAGTAGCTTAGGTCTTTTGTGGGTGACACATGGTTTGCTTCCACCACAGCTTCTGACTGAGAGGGCCTGCCCTGAGTGTCTTGACAGCTATGATCCCAGCATGCACTTCCTCTTTTGAGACCTCAGACTGACCAGAGTGTGAACCACAGATGAGGAAGTGAAATTCATGCTTTCTTAGCACAACCCCAAAGTCAGAAATCACAAAAGAACAAAGGAACAGATATATTAGAAACATCCTAAACTTTTTTTTTCTTTCTTTCTCTCAGTATTTAGGACATTCTGACACCCTATTTTGGGGAAAATTTTGCAACATGTAAGACAGCAAATAAATGAAAATTCCTCAGGATGGCAGAGTGGTTCAAGTGTTAGAGCACTTGCCTAGTAAGCAGGAGGCCCTGAATTCAAACCCCAGTACCACCTGGCCCTCCAAATGACTATCCCTTGTATATTTTTACTGTTAAATAAGAAAATGGGGCAGAAACCTAAATGAACGTTTCAGAAAGGATGAAATATAAATGACCAATAAACACACAAAGATGTTTAGTTAGTAACCAAAAAAATGCAAGTTGCCTTGCTCAGGTTTTACATTAGCAGAGATCTGAAAGATTGCTAATACTCAGTGTTGGTGGGAGTGGAAAAGGCACTTGTTTACTGCTGGGGTAGAAATTGGAATGGCTTATATAAAAGACCAACTTGGTAATATAGCCTGTGTTAAAAAGTAAAGATGTTTGTGCTTTTTTTTTTTTGGTGCCATAGTGTGGTTTGAACTCAGGGCTTTGAGCTTTTGAGGCAGGAGCTCTGTCACATGAGCCATGCCTCCAGTCCAAGATGTATGTTTGTTTTCTCAGAATTTCATATTATGGAATTGATTCTGAGGAAATAATCAAGACTCATAAACAGATATAACTGTAAGGATTTTTTAAAATTCTATTTTATTTTCTTTTTTATGGATGCTTCATGAATTTGCATGCCATCCTTGTGCAGGGCTTAGTATATTCACTGCCAAAGCGAGTACTTTTTTTTTGGCAATAGGATATTGCTATTGTAGTCCAAGCGCTCCTGATGTGCTCCTGCCTTTATCTCCTAATTGCTGGAATTACAGTTGTGTGCCATACCTGCTAACTGCGTTTTTGTTTTTAATTCTTCACAACATTCTTGATAATAATTGTTTAACAAAGGAAAGTTTGTATCTAGAAAAAAATGTCATGTGGTGATTAGCAATGATGGTAGATTCCTGTATTTATTAGCCTGGGAAGATTACTGCCTTTTGGTTTTGGTTTTGTTATTTTGAGGTGCTGGGGATCAAACCCAGGGACTTTCACATGCAAAGCAAGGCTCTGCCAGTGAGCTGCATCCCATCCCTGGAAAGGTTATTGTGAAAGGAACAAAGCAGTTTACAAAGCAGCCTTGATAGGATGTTCTCATTTTTTTTATAAATCTGTATCTGTTTTTATATATGTGTACACAAAGGCTTGGAGTAATATAAAATACAAGGATTATATTATGGATTTCAATTTTCATCAGGGTTACATAAATGTAATTGTCTGTTTCTCAATAACTAAATTCATTTTGGCTTATGAACCCCTCAAACATAATTGCATTTGGAAGTAACTTAGCTCCTTCTTTTTTTTTTTAATTTTTGGTGGTACTGGGGTTTGAACTCAGCTTCACACTTGCTAGGCAGCAGGCGCTGTACCACTTGAGCCACTTGCCAGCAACTCAGCTCCTTCTTATTTAATACTCAATCTCTTTTGGGTCAGTCCCCACTGAATATTCCTTCACTTTTCCCTGCAAATGATTTACACATTGCTTTGTTATGAGGAGAAGTGTTGGGGCCTGTGCTCTCCCTGATTCCTCATCTCCACTGAGATGTCACTTGTTCTGCCCTGTTGTCACTTTCTTATACCAGCATTGCTTTAGGCATCTGATTTGTGCTGAAGATCAGTGAAATCTGTCACTGCTTTGTTCCAAGTCATGGGCTCTTGTAGGCCCACTCTCTTGTGCAGAGCCAATTCTGACCCCCTCCTAGGGTCGTGGGGTGTAGGTGCTCATCCACCACACATCATGCTGGGGACCCTTTCTGTGGGGTATTATCAGGCTCATTTCTATGCTGCCCTTGTCTTCCTTTTTTTTTTTTTTTTTGAGATACTGGGGTTTGAACTCAGTGCCTACATCTTGAGCCACTCTACCAGCCCTTTTTTGTAATGGGTTTTTCGAGGTAGGGTCTCACAAACTATTTGCATGGTCTGGTATTGAACTGCACTTCTCCCGATCTCTGCCTCCTGAGTAGTTAGGATTACAAGTGCAAGCCACCTGTGCCCAGCAACGCTTCCCTTCTGATGCTGTAATGGAGGCAGGCTTCCCTGAGGTAGAGAGCACTGACCTTTACTGGGAATCTCCTTCCCCCACTTTCTGGGGGGTATAACATGCCAAACACTTCTCAGGGACCCATTGAGTCTAGTTTTCTCCTACCAGCTGGTCTACCCTTCATCCCCTTTTGAGTGATGCTGCCTCCTTCTGAAGCTTTGACTCCTCAACTCCCCACATAAGCTGCTGCTGTTTACTTAAAACACTCTTTCACATATCTGGTTTGTAATGGAAACAGTAGCCTTCAAGACAATAGTCTGCTGTCAGTTTACAAAAATTACTTAAAAGTTCAAATTCAGAGACCAAGGATTTGTGTCTTGTCCCTCACACCAAAGCAGCATGCACAGAAAGCTTGTCCTGGTGCTTGGATAGTAGAGGTACAGCCAGAGGCTCAGGAAGGGGTTAGCAAAGTTCTGAGTTGAGTGTTAAAATATACATCCAGCCATAGTTCTCTCCTGGGATTGATAGGATTGTGTGTGGTTTCCACTCCTTGTCTGTAGTTTCTGAATTTTCTACAGTAAATTAAAATATATGACAAGTTCCTGTATAAATAAAGGAGTACTTCTGACATTTAGGTCTTTAGTGCCGAAGATGTTTTTGTTTATTTTATTTATTTTGATGATTTGGTACCCTCACCTTATCACAGCAAGTGAGCTCATGGGGAGGGCAACGGATGGGAGGCCAGGCTGGAAGCCGTGATAAGCAGAGAGGAGATGGGGACATCTACTTTGTCAAGGCTGAGCCTGAAGTAGGCTCCCGACCTCGCTGACTTCAGGGTGAGACTTAAGCTCTTGCAGCACCATCAGGGACAGTGTCTTCTTTTCACAAGTGAACAGGACTTTATTAGCAGTGTCACAGACACTGTGTTGTATAGGAGCCGTCCCTGGGCCTGCACAACCCCAAATGAGCTTTGAGCAGATAAACTGTAGCAGACATAGAATCACCATTGGGATTTCAAACAAAAGTTTGGAATAAAACGATAAAAGGAAGCAGTTCTCTTTTTTTTGGGCAGGGGGGTGTGCTAGGCATCAAATCCAGTGCCTTGCACCTGCTAGGCAAGTACTATACTGAGCTACATCCCAGTCCTAGAAACCCCTTTATGCTTCGTAACAAAGGGACAGCTCAAGCAATAGAACACTTCAAAAATGGGTTTGCCCAGTCACCTTCCCAGCACACTGGAGCATGCAGTATCCACCCTTGCCTGCTTCAGGAATTTCCTGAGTTTTTGAAAAAGTACAATTTGAAGATTTAGTATGTCCGTCTTTGAGAGTACTTTACGCTCTCAATTTTTATTCGAGATTTGAATTTTGTAGAAGTGTTAGTGAAGAACTATAAAGCCAGTGTCCTATGCACGTGTGGGTTAGTGGGAGGCGGGGCCAGCTTCTCCCAGCTTCTCCCTGCGGTCCTCTTAGAGCTGGGGTTGTTGGGAGCTGAACTTGGCTTTGGTGAGTGTGACAGTCAGAAACCCCCTCTGCAGACCTCTTCCAAAGAACAATGGCCTTTCTGTGCCTTATACTCAGAAGATGTGGCTCTGGTGCGGGGCTGTGGTTAGAACTAGGACAGCCAGGGTGGTGCTGGGCCTCGTGGTCCTCCAGTGCAAGGTACTGTGAGGAAAGGAGGTAAGCAGGGCATATGTGGGAGGTTCCCTTATAGTAAGAGTAGGGGCTGGGAGCTGGCGAGGGAACTTTGCTGTGATGACGAGAGCTCAAGAGGGCCAGAGCCCCTCTCTCTGGGCTCCTCCTGTGTAGCTGATAGAGGAGCCATGTGCCTTTCTTAGGGACCCACTGCCAGTTGATGATGGAGTTGTGACCAGAGCCCAGGTCTCCTATGCCAACCCATTATTTTTCCTGTTTCAGCAGGCAAGGCTGGGATCCCTAGGAGCTGGGAAAAGGCAACTGTCCCTGTCTTGGGTGACTCCCTCATGTCAGGGTCCCCAGCTGTCATCGATAGGGGAGGGACACATTACACTGATCCCTGTGGGATGGGTCTGGGTTGGGGCAGATAGCCCCTCCCCACTTTCCCCTACGGCACAGTGATTTGCAGTTTCAGGGCAGAGCTGGGTTCTCTCAGATGGAGGAGGTGGACCTGACTGTGAGCACCAGGAGGGGAAGGGCTTATTGTTACTCTCAGCTATGGCCCTTGCTGCTAGAATGTAGCCTGGCCATAGGTACTCACTGAATTTTTTAAAAATGTGTGAGCAAGTGGATAAATGACCACCCTGTTAGGAGCTGGCTATGAGCAGATATGTAAAGTAGATCCAGTTTGCTTCAAGGTGACCACTTCAGGGCCACTTGCTTCTCTGGGTTATTTCCTGGCCCCCAGAGCCCTGGTCATGGAGGCTGCATCTGACCCACGGCTCTATCCTAAGATGCTACCTCTGACTTAGAAAACGATGGCCAAGAAGAAAGAAATGGGCCTCAGGAGGGTGGGACAGCTTTAGGCTGCAAAGTCTGATTTCTGAGGTCCAAGATACATTGTCCTTGGCTTGAAGCGGTTAGATCCTCAAGGTCAGCCAGTCCAGAGGGCAGGAAGTCGAAGGGGAAGCCTCAAGCAGGAGCTGAAGAGGGCTGGGACAGGTCAGAGTGGTGGGGAGTGAGCAGGCCCTGAGAAGGGCCCTTTCCTGATGGTGCCAGAAGTTCTCAGGAGCCCTGGAGCTGTGCCCAGGAGAGGTGGGATGGAGCAGCCTGCAGGAGTGGCTGCCTCTTCCTGCTGAGGGGCAAGAGGGCCTCCAGCCCTGACATTCTCACAGGTAAGACCTCTCTCCCTCCCCCTCCTCAGGTTAGAACCAAGACTTACCTGGAGGCTGAAGTCCCATCAGAGGTGAGGGCTTTGTAGACACTGGAGAGGGCTGGATGAGGCCACACACAACCCCAGGACCTGCCACAGGGACAGCATTAGGGCCTAGCTCCCCACTTCTGATCTGAGGGGCATGGAGGACCCCCAGAAGGGGTAGTTCTCACTCTACCCACTCTTGGTGTGCTCTTACCAACTCCCTGAGCCACAGGCCTCTGGAACTTAAGAGTTGAGAGGTACAATACTTGCCCCATTCTATACCCACCCTGTCGAGCACACGTAGTCCCGTCCCATAATGGGCATCAAACTACACCCTCAGATTGCCCCTCCCATCCCATAGTGCTTCTTTTCCATTCTGTTGTGATGTTTTCTTTACCTCTCTGGTTTTCTCTACATGCAAACTTGGTGGGGAGGGGGGTGGAGGGGGACCTATTCCTGGGTGAGGCACCTGGAGTTGCCTGGATCCAGGAGAGTGGAACCTTTGAGGATCCAGGAACAGGAGGGAGATGCTATGGCAGCTAAGGGAAGTCCCAGCTGGAGTGGCCATACCTGGCAGGTGGTGTTGGCATCCCAGGCCCTGGGCACCAGGGCCAGCAGCTGGGGTGTGTGCTGCTCCACAAACTGCTCGCACTGAGGAGAGACAGACATGCAGAGAGTGGGCCTAGGCCCATGACAGGATTCTGCTGGCCTGAATCCTGGCCTCTCCACCTCCCAGGGTCACTGCAGGCTCCCTTTGGACCTTGGGTGCAGGTTCAGCCATTAGTCCTCTGAGCAGCTCTGGCTGAAAGTAAGACCCAAACAAGCCTAAGGGGGCTGAAAGGGAGGTTTTCGTGGGAAAAGCCAGGGCCACTGGAGCTGCCTCCTGGGAAGGGCATTAGCCAGCTTGCCTCAGGACACCATTTTACTTTAAAAAGGGAATTTACTATGTCAGCCCAGTATTGGTGGGCCTCTTAAACCTTCATGCTCAGTTCTTTCTTTTTGCAGTTGGACTTTGTCCCACAGTGAGTCACACTGTGAGGAGAGTGGAGTAGGAACAGCACAGAAATTCTGGAGAGAAGGTCAGACCTGGCATTGGCAGATGTCACCCATCACCAGGTATACCTGGGCCACAGCATGGCTGGCACACTGGACCTAACAGGACTTGCTTTGCACTCATGATGGAGGCCTGCTGGTGTGCCAGAGCCCACAGCCGTGTGTCCAGAGATGACTCCCAAGCTCAACTCTTAGTTGGTTTTTCTCTAAATACAGTTGTTGCAGTCTCACTGTTGTCTGACTCAGGCCCTGCCTGCCCTTTGTGTCTCTAGCCTGCAAAGCCTTTTCTGGCTCAACCCCCACCACATACAGGCCCTGTATGTGCCCACTACACACCTTTTGCCTGTCCAGTCCGGAGCCAAGGCAGGTCTGGCGCATTGCCTGTGGTATGGTCTGCTCACTGCTGTTCCAGGCCTGGGTGATCACAGACATGCAGAGCTGGCACTCTGAATCTTGGAGCAGCCATTCTTCTGTTGGGGACTCCAGAGCAGGGAGGGCTAGAGAGAAAATAGTCGAAGATGCCCTGCAGAAGTGTTCCGGGACATCAGAGAGGGAAAGAGAAGGGAAGAAGAAGAGTCCTGCACAGTCAGGATGGAGGATAGGAGAGTAGCCATGGTGGAGTGGCAGCAGGCTCACCTGGGCCAAGGCTGTCTTCACTGGAGCATCGGAGGATGAGGCCACAGACTAGCTGGGGCAGCACACGGCTCAACAGCGCATCCAGCAAGAGGATTGTGTAGCGCTCAGCCAGGCACTGGCAGATGCCACCCACCACCAGGGGTACCACATGGCATACTTGGGACACAGCCACGGCCAGCACACCCTGGGGTAGAGGTGGAGAGAGGGCAGCGTGGGACCTTCCCTTTGGCAAGGCTCTATTTTGCCCAGCATCAGCTGAGCAGTTCACATACGTCTCCTTGTTCCCTTCTAAGAGGGAGAGTAATACTACTTATAGATGAGGACACTGAGGATCAGAGAGTCCAGGGGACTCAGGAGCACACCTGGAGTCAGACTCCAATGGTTCCAGGCCACTGTCAGCCTGAGAGGTAGGCATGCTTAAGCTGCCAGTAGCCTGAGCTGGAGATGAAACAGGAAGTCTGTCTCCTCCCTCCTGATCCAGACTGCTTTACCTTCCCACAGGTATCCATCAAGCTTGCTAGGCAGGTGCTCTGTCACTTGAGTTACACCTCCAGCTCTCTATCAGGGTGACAGATAGCTCCTACCTTTGGCTCTCAGAGCCAACATGTCCCTGCTTTTAGGAACGTATGGGGAGAGCCAGCAGTCTCTCCACCTCATCCTGATTCCAAACTCAGCTCTTCTTCCTTCACTTCTTTATTCATTCCCACAGGCAACAGGCTGGCCCCACTGCCAGGAGGTTGAGACGGAGGAGGGCTGAAGAATGTGAACTCCTAGGATACAGTACCTTCCAAATGGGACATTTTACCAACTGCAGCCACCAGCTTACGTTGACCCACACTTGGCCTCCTCTCCTGCTACTACACATGTGAGCAGTCCTTGCTGTCAAAACCCAGGCCATTCACTGGGTCCCAACACTGCCCATCTTCACCTTACCTGACCTGGCATTATCCTCTCTCTGGTCTCAGGACTTTCTTCCCCTGGCTGACTGATGAAGCAGCTAAAATGGCTCCCTTACAAAGCCTCACCACATCTGCAACTTCATGGTAGTGTTGGCAGTACTTGCTGCTCTACTTCTTTCCCTGTCATTCTCCCTATAACCTGTTCCATTTGGGCTCTGTCACCACAACTCCTCCAAAACAGATTTCGGGGTCATCAACAACCTATTTCTTGCCACATCCACTGGTCATCTCTTATCCTTGATCATGCAGCAGGCCAGGTAAATGCCCTCCTTAAAATGCTTTCTTGGCTTCCCTGGCACCATGCCATGGTTCCCCCCACCTCATGGCTGTTCCCCTCATCTCTTCTGCTACCATGTCCTTTGCCTGTGCCTCTGTCCACTGTCTCAGCCCCTTGATGGTTCTGCCCTTGCCTTTGGCCCTCAGTCTGGTCCATAGCCAGTGACACAGACTGATACTACTGTCCCACCTTTCCCCAGCACTTGGTTCAGCTACCTGTTTGACATCTTTCCCATTTCCAACTTAACATGGTCAAGAGAGAAGTTTGTTTCCTACTCAAATCTGTTTCTTCTCAAGTGTTCCCATCTCAGTTGGCATTACCAGAGAGCCAGAGCCCATAGGGGTCATCAGAATTCCTCTCTTGTCCTCACTCCTCAAGACCATCCACCACCAAGCCCAGTTGAGCTCACTGCCCCCAACACACCCCCACCTACCTTCTTAGCTCCATCCCACCCACCAAGCCTCACTGCCATTTCTGTAGTAATCTCCTGTTAAGACTCTTGCTTGCCACCCTCCTGCCTCCCATCTGCCCAATCCATCCTTCCCCTGCCTGAATCCCTGCAATAGCTGGAAATTGCATTCGTTATGAAGCCTTTTGCTTCTTTTTTCTACTTTCTTACAATGCTAGGGATGGAACTCAGGGGTTCATGCATGCTAGGCAAGTGCTGCACCACTGAGCTACACCCTCAACCCTCAGTCCTTTGCTTCTTAACTTGTCTGCACCAAGTCTAAAAGGCCTGGGCGGGCCACCTCTCTGGTCTTTTCTCCCAATTCGAGTAAGAAAACAGACTTTCCTCTTGACCACGTTCTCCCAATGACCCTCTGGCTGCTGCCACACTGATTCTCTGTCCCTCAAGCTTCCCAAGCTCATTCTTGCTCAAGGCCCTCGGTCTTTCAGGGCTTTGTCCTCTAGGTGTCTTTAATTGTCACCTTGAAGTGGCTCTTTCCTAACTCCTGGCAGACGCTGGGACCTGACAAGTGGAATGGGGGCAGGTGGAGCTGTGTGGGGGCAGGTGATGCCTCACCTTGGGAATGACGGCTTGTATCCTCTTGATCAGGGTCCTGCAGAGCCAGCAGAAGGGCAGGGGTATGGGGAACTGCTGCTCTGCGAGGTCCTAGGGAGATACAGTTAGGAAGCTGGACCCAAGGCTGAGAGAAAGCACCCTTGAGGCTCTGCCTGCCCCATCTCCTCCCCACTTTCTCTCCCTCATGATTTAGTCCCTGCCTGGAGCTTCTTGTCCTTTTCTGACTCTGCCCCTCCAGGGGCCCAAGTGCTCCTAGGCCTCAGCTGCCACTTAGCCCCTTGGGTTCCCACCTTACTCTGTGAGGGGCCTTCCTCACCTGTGTATGAGGCCCAGTCCTTGTCAAGGGGACCCCTGGCAGCATAGGGAGGACCAGCTTGTCCAGCAGAGGGTCAGGCACAGGGCCTGGCATCCCTGGGTCTTCTTCTGGCTCTGGCTTCCCAGGTTGGCACAGGCCCATGTGCCCACAGACGGCCTTTGGGCTCTAGGGCATAGTGTTAGGATCAGGAGGGAAGCCCCCTCATGTTCAAGCTGGACCAAGGGAATCTTTGGGTCTGGAATGGTGGGGAACAGGTAGGGTGGGGGCTGTGTCTCAGGGCTCCATAGAAGGAGGACAAAAGGCAGAGATGGGGAATTGTATGGGGACTTGGGGCTAGTGTCTGGGAATGTGTGTGAATGAGTGTGAGGATATATGTAAGAATAAGAGTGTGAGTATGCATGAGAGGGAAGGTGTGAGGGTTTGTCTGAGTGTGTGGGAGCATCTGTATGTGTGCAAGCTACTGGGTGCTGCGAAGTGGTGCAGGTGGGTGCCTGGATAAAGGACACTAGGTTCCTGGACCTTTTGTGGTCATGGAGTGTGTGTGTATATGTGTATGTGTATGTCTGGGATTTTATGTATGTGTGTGTGTGTTGCTGTGTGTGTGTGTCTGGAGAGCTATGTGTGACTGGCTGGTGTTCTGTGTGTTTGGGGAATTTGTGTGTGTGTGTGTGTGCTGTGTTGTGTATGTGTTTGGGGTGGTGTGTATGTGCCTGGCTGGGGTGTTTTGTGTGAGTTTGTGACAGTGTATGTCTGTCTGGCATGTTGTGTGTGTGTGTCTGGAGTGTCATGTGTATTGTATGTGTGTCTGGAATGCTATGTGTGGCTGTCTGGTATGCTGAGTGTGTGTTTGTATGTGTGTGTTTGATGTGTTGGTGTGTGTGTATGGTGTGTTTTGTGTCTGGCAGTAGTATGTGTGTTATGTGTGTTTGAGGCATTGTGTGTGTGTGTGTGTGTGTGTCTGGGATGCTGTGTATGGGGGTGTCTGGCGGGTATAGTGCATGTGCTTAATTGGCTGTGGTGGGCATGGGGGCTGGGTGTAGGTGGATGGGAGGCAAGGTCAGCCCTCACGATCTGGCTCTGGAAGTAGTCGATGACCAAGGGGAAGTAGACTTCAAGCACATTTCGACACTGGGGCACTAGCAGCTTCAAGGGGAGGACATCACACTCATGCTCCAGGAACTTCCGAATTGTGTCCTGGGAAGATGGAGAGGGGACAGTCAGCCTGGCCTGTCTGAGGTCTGCCCTCTCCCAAGACCCTTGATGCAAGGCTACTACCAAGGCAGACTGACCCCCTTCTCCCAGGGCACTGAAATTCAGGGAAGGCAAGGGAGTTATGTAGCTGGGTGCATGAAGGGCCTCTCCTCTTCTGGAAGGGCCATCTCTGGTTGAGGCTGAACTCAGACCCAGGGCCTGGTCCTGGCCAGGAGGGGCATGGAGTCCTTAAGGCCTCACCCTTGCCTGGCAATGTCCCTGTAGTAGGGGATTCACTCTACTATAAGGATGAGGGCTCTTGTTCCCCCCAGATCTAATCCAGGATCTGGGCTTCATTACCTGGAAAATGTCTTCCTTGGTCACTTTTGGGAGGATGCCAATGATGTCCTCACACTCCTGGCACAGGTCATCCTGGAGAGGGATCCCAAAGTCAGGGCCCAAGAGTCGGGGGCATGCTCCCAGCTCCAGGGAGGGAGGTTCTCTCAGGCACAGGCTGGCAGGGCCCACCAAGGTACAGACAGCTGCCCACTATCCCATCCATCCTACTCTCTCCCCTTTTACTTCATCCCATCCTATCCATTCCATCCATCCATCCTGCTTTATCCATTCTGTCATTCTGTCCCATCCCATCTCATGCCATCCCATCCCCTATGGGGGCTCCAAGCCCCTCAGGCCCATTCAGAGCCCACCAGCATCCCCCTTTTCCAGTCCCCCAGTCTCCTCATGGCTGGTACTCACAGCTCCCACTTGTCCCCAGACTTCCTGTAGGCAATGTCCCAGGGCTTTGCACTGCACTGCTTGTTCCAGGCTTTGACACCAGAACTTGGGGCCCTGGGCACAGGCCAGGGATGAGGCAGTCCAGACAGCTACAGTAGGGGGCCAGAGCAACCTTCATCAGGATCCATGCTACACACCTGGCACCCTGACTTCATTGAACCACAAACTCAATTTTGCTGCAAATGCCTGGCTGTTGCACACGTCAGATAGCTCTGGGTCCCCTTGTTCCAATATGCATCAGCTTGACCTTGGACAAGCCAGAGACTTCTCTGGGCCTCAGCTGATTTGTCTTTAAAATCTGGATTATGAACAGATCTGAGATCATTCAGGGCAGAGCTGGCTTACAGTAAGTGGTGGAGAGGCATCTGTGAGGGAGGCTGGGAAGACTCACCAGTGCCTGGGCCACACAGTGTGGGCAGCAACAGCAGCCACGGCAACAGGTGTGACTTGGCCATGGTACCGCTACAGTCTGGGAATCCTGCTTGGGGCAGGGGCTTTTATAGCTGGGGGAAACAGCCTGGGGGCAAAGCTCCTTGGGAGCAGGATGACCTCAGTGTTTACTTGTGTCCTGGAGAACCCTCCAGGTGCTTTGATCCCGCCTCTTCCTAGCAGGGACACTCTTGCCTGCCTTCCCCTTGTCCTAACTAATGGCCTGGTCCTGCTCTCTTTGCTCCCTGCCCCAATTCCTGTGGGCTGGGACTCGGGGCTCCCTTCAAAGAGGGGGCCTTTGAGCCTCCATGCTTGATCCCAGCTCTCCTGTTTGTGGGAGGGAAGCTGAAGTAGGGTCAAGTTGGCAGGCAATGTGACAGTCCCCTCCCAGTCCCACCTCTGGCCTCCTGAGTCTCCTCTGCTCTTGAGCAAGGCTCCTAAGAACTTCCTGCCTGGCTCTTGATCCATGGTAAGCTCCGGAAGGGCAAACCCAGGACCCTCCTGAGGCCACCTACCTCTCACTCCCTCTTTCCTCTTCCCCTAGAAAAACCGCTGGTCCTATGGACACATGGTTGACATTGGTCAGAGGAGTGTTTACATGAAGCAAGAGAAACAAGTTTTCTGAGAGTCTGAGATGGGGACATGGGGCCTGAAATTTCGGTGGCCCCTGAGTGGCTCTCAAGTAGTTCTGTGTTCCTCTGAAACCCTTTCAGGGTAGGGGCTGAGTCACAGCTGATGGCTCAAAAGAAACCATCCTCTGTGGCTGCAGAGCACTCAACTAGATCCCCATTGGGCAAAAAAAAAAAAAAAAAAAATGCTCACAGCCTGCTGCAGGGCAGACTGTGAGGAGGGGTGAAGAGCAGAGCAGTGTCACTGCCATGGCCATCAGCGACTTCTCGGATTAATGCTGGAGCTCTGTCCTTGGTGGCTCCCAGGCCTCTATGTGCCCGGGAGCACTCCAGTGCTCATGGGCTGGGCAGGACAGGAGCTTGGCCCTGGATGAAAATAATTGGACACAAGATTGTAAAGTGACACTCAAGGTCACTCAAGCAATTGTGTAGTTTCTGTTGGCCTTAGGCTCTTGTCACTGTGACAAACACACTTGTCATAGTGGGAGTTAACCAAGAGTATGAGAATGTGTGGCCAAAGATTGGGAACTGAGTGACTTGCATAAAATCTTAGGACAGTGGAACTGGAATGTGCTTGTAATTAAGTATGTGTTAAACAAATGAGCCCAGGGCTTGAGGGGTGGCTCAGTGGTAGAGTGTGTACTTAGCAGGGCCCTGAGTTACATCCCAGCACCAAACAAACAAAAACCATCCAAAAACCAAATGAGCCAAGCTATGTCCAATTTGGATAGACTGAGCAAAGTGGTAGAATTTATGAATGTTCCTTTCAGGGGTGTATTGGTCAGGGTCATCCAACTACTGTTAACAAGAGCCTTCCAGGCTATGGAGAGTCACACATAGGTGTTTCTTTTTTACTTGTGTCACCAGGCAGAGCAGGTTGGCTTCAGGTGGGGAGATTCTGGTCCACACAGTCATGCAAGGGTCAGGTTCCTCTCTCTGTTTGCTTGAAGGGTTCAGAGTCCTCTCTGGGTCCTTGTGTCTGCAGACAGAGGATGGAGAGAAAGTGTGGGAGATAGCAAGGGAGGTTTTAGGGATCAGCGCTGGGAATGGGGTCCACATTGCTGCCCTCTCACTTTAGTGACATGACTGCACCTAATCCCAGAGAAGGCTGGGAAATGCCATGTTCCGGTGTGCCTAGTAGGAAGGGGCAGTGGAGTTAGTGGTGCGTAGTATTGTCTCAAAGCCCTCACACTGAAGGCAGGTGTCTGGGGTTTTCTAGGTGGTGGGTCAGTATTTCCATCAGACCCTCAAAGGAGGTTCTCCAAACTGTTGAGAGCTGTCAGCCAAAAGCAGAAAATGCCAGCAGATGACAGGGCTTTCCTGGCCCTGGCCAAGGGTTAGGGTGTCCTGGTTTGTGGTCCTTGTGGTGGGCAGCTCCTGGCTCGCCATACTTGCTTACATACCCATGGCACTGACTCTGTTCAGAATTAAGCTTCCTGCGGGGTCTGGCTGCAGGGGGAGCCTGACAGATTTGCCTGTGCAGGTGGACTGTCATCACTGTAAATGAATAAAGAAATATTCTGAAGAAAAGAGGCTGGGCATAGTGGTGTGAACCTGCAATCCCAGCTCTCAGGAGGCTAATGTAGAAATATGACAGATCGAGGCCAGCCTAGGCTATATAGCAAAACAAAACAAACAAATGAACAGAAAAAGAAAAGAGAGCTTTGTGCTTCTCCAGTGTCTGAGAGCTTGATTAACTCTCATTTATTTATAAGGGAAGGCTTCCCTCTCTCTTGGTGTGTGGACATGGAAGAGAATCTTGTTCTTTTTAACTGTGGGCAGTGAGACTCCCTGGTGTGAGACTTGAAAGAGCTGGAGGCTTGAGACAAAAAAGGATCCAGAAAGTGTCACAATTTTTGTATTGAAATCTTTTATATCTTTTGCCAGATGCAAGCAAACAGTGGAATATCTTTTCATGCCTAGCATTTTGGGGTGCCTGTCACTGATGGTGCTCTATACCTTTCCTCCTGTTATACACCCCCACTCTTGAAAATTTGGGGGGCGGTACTGGGGTTTGAACTCAAGGCCTTATGATTGGTAAGCAGGTGTTCAATTACTTGAGCCACACCTCTAACCCCTGTTCGTTCTGTTTTTGGAGAAGGCATACATGGGAAACCCAGTGAAGGAGCCTCATGATAGTTTTTCTGAGCATAGTGTCTATCTCATATCTTGCTTTTTTTCTGGGGAGGTGTGGCATTAGGATTTGAACTCAAGGTCTTGATCTTGCTAAGCAAGCACTACTGTACCACTAGAGCCATGCCTCCAGCCCTTGCATCTTAAGATTTCTCTAGAGGATAGGAGAGGCAGGGTCTTTGGCAATTCAACATGGAGTTTATGCAGACCTTTCATTTATTTGTTTATTTGACTAAAAAGGGGTTAATGAGCTTGGAGCTGGGAGGGCAGTGGGCACTGCCATGATGACTTAAGCTTGGATTACTGCTTGGAGCAGTAATCAGCATGGGGTACTACCCAGGGCTGGGAAGTAGAGACTCCAGGAGTTGGTTTGGTAAAATGTTGGATGGAAGAGCAAGTGTTCCAGACAGAGGGATCAGCTCAGGCAAAGGCTTGGGAGAAGAGAGGACATGGGGCTGGTACAGGAGCAGCCAAGGCCCACTTCACAGATTGTGGGTTTGGAATGTCGGGCAGCTTCACAGGGAGTAGCGGCAGCTCCAGGTCTCCAGCTCCCTATTCTATTGCCCAGCAGCCCCCTGGCTCTGGGCCCTGACCTTCTGTGAACAACAGGATCTCTTTGGCTCCCTCGATTTCCTCAAGGTCAGTTGCATGCTCATGAGCTGCTGATGGGAGGAGTTGTCAATGTCAGCTTTGACCTTCCTCAAATTCTCATTCCCCTTTTACCCTGCAGCTATTGGTTGAATTGTGACCCTGCAATGTGTTGAAGTCCTAGCCCTGACATCTGGGAATGTGACCTTATTTGGAAATAGAGTCTTTGCAGATGTGTTCATTAGGGTGGATCCTTAATTCACTGACTGATGTCCTTATAAGAAGGAAATTTGGACACAGAGTTTGGTGCAAAGATGGAGGCAGAGATTGAAGTGAGGCAGCCACCAGCCAAGGAACTCTGAAGATTGAACCTCCCCTTTCCCTCCTAAGCTGGAAGAGATGCCTAAGGGTTCTTCCCCAGAGCCTGCAGAGGTAGACAGCAGGGCTGGCTCCCACTCAGGCTTCTGAGATGAACTGAACAGTTTAAGAGGACCTCCCTGCTGTTTTCAGTCATCCAATTTGTGTGCTTTGCTGGGGCAGCCCTAGAAGCTAACAGAGCTGCCCACCAACTGTCTACCCACCTGCCTTTCCTCTGTCCCCACACCAGGACCTGAGCCCAAGCTTTCCAAACCCAATTGGAGCTCTATCTGCAGCCAGCCCATTCCAGTCACTGTTGCCGTGCATGTTCCGTGTCCACAGCGGGGCCCAGGGAATGTCTGGATTTCACAGCGCAGTGCAGAATGGGCCTCCAGTGGGTGGCGTTCAGCTTCAGTGTCAGGGACATCCTCGCCCAACACCTGTCAGGTGTTCTGCCACCAGAGCCCTGGCTAAAGCTCTACCTATCCTCCCTGGAGAGTGTCTCTGTTCCCTCTATCTCTAGCTGGACCCACCCTGCAGGAAGGAAATGTGCCTGTCCTACTCATTCTTGAGACCCAGCATAGTCTTGGGACATAGTGGCTGCATAACCAAATAACTTTCATTCTCTCTCTTTCTTTCCTCCCTCCCTTTCCTTTCATTTCTCTTCTTCCCTCCCTCCTTCCCTCCCTCCCTCCTTCCCTCCCTCCCTTCCTTCCTTCTTCTCTCTCTCCGTCTCTCTTTCTTTCTTTCTTTTCTGTAGTTCTGGGGCTTGAACTCAGGGCCTACACACTGAGCCACTCCACCAGTCTTTTTTTTTTTGATGGGTTTTTTTGAGATAGGATCTCAGGAACTAATTGTCTGGGCTGGCTTTGAACCACGATCCTCCTGATTTCTGCCTTCTGAGTAGCTAGGATTATAGGCGTGAGCCACCGGTACCCAGCACCCCTCTTTCTTGCTAATGAAACCCAAGTTTGTTCAGGTTCTGAGTGTGCAGAGAGCTGACTCTGTGCCCAGCCTAGGGCCTGGGCTCCCCCTTTGCTGGTAATTGCCTTGGGCAGGCATATGTTATGGTTTTGGTCATCCATCCTATTGGAAGTCGCTGGGGGCAGCAAAGTTAGGGACACTTCTGGAAAATGTTTCTGGCCTGGTTACAAGAGACAGATGGAAAGAAATGCCTCTTCCTTTTGACATCTAGTGCAAAGGTATGATGTTGGGGCATGGTAGCCATTCTGCCCCAAGAAGGAGAAGGTAAAAGAAGCACAGACAATAGCTCAGAGATCTGACGTGGTCAGGATACCGATTTAACTAATCTTCAATGCTTTTTGCTTTGTTTAGATAATTTGTGGTCAGATATTCTGTTATGTATAGCCTAAACCATCTTAACAAAGGCAGAATGAGAAAAACGCTGAAAGAAGGAAAAAAGGAAGGAAAGAATGAAGGGGAAAAGGGAAAAAGAAGAGAAGGAAGGGATGGAGGGAGGAAGAACACTGTTATTTTTATCCT